CGACAACGACAACGAACATCCCCCTCCGATCACTATCACATCTCGAAATATCCCAGGGCATCACACGACCTTACTGGCTGGTTGAGTGATCTTGAAGACGATGATCCTGCTAAAATGGTCTATTTTTTGCATACATGCTTGTATATGTATTGACAATGCTCCCTTCAGAACTTCATCCCCCGGCTCAAAGATCATCTCCTTGCTCGTCTCCGAGGTATTGAATATTCAGGCGATGAACACGACTTTTCCAATTCAGACCGAGACCTCATTATCCTGGCAAACAACAAGATTCACGAGCATAGTATTTTACAGATCAATTACACGACCTATGATCTAAGAAGGGAACAGGATTGTATTAACCCTCGAACTCGAGCTGATTTAATGGTCCTCTCACACGAGAATGATGAGGAAAAGCATCCTTACTGGTATGCTCGACTAATCCACATATTTCACGTCAATGTTTGGTACTATGGTGGTGATAACACACCTTTGACCTCAAGGCGTATGGATGTTCTTTTCGTGCGCTGGTTTGGACGGGACGTGACCTTTCCAGCTGGTTTCTCAAACAAACGCCTGCATCGCATCGGTTTTATTACCAATGACACCAGCAATCCAGATGTTGATTCTGGCTGCTTTGGCTTTGTCGATCCTGATCAGGTGATTCGCGGAGTGCATTTGATTCCCGCCTATGCATACAAACGCACAAACCAGTATCTGGGACCTTCCTTTGTTCGACGTGAAGAAGAGGCTGATGACGACTGGCGATATTTCTATGTCAACATGTAAGTCAGGTGTTTTATTCTCAGGACAATATCTCACCTCGATTAAATAGATTTGTAGACCGTGACATGTTCAGGATGATCGAAGATAAAGATAGCGATGACGAAGCTGATGAACAAGCCAAGAGGTATTTTTTCGCTTCTTATTAACTTGAATGTACTAACATATTCTGACTTTGTAGTGAATCACAGCCTGTCGCTGAGGATCCAGACACTACGATGGTCTGTGAGCCAACACTGGCGTCCAGGTAAGTTTTTTTTTGATCCATTATTGTGACATTGGCTCAGCTCTTATGGTGCTTGCAGGGACTCAAACATGCCTCAGCGCATCAGCGCAAAGCCTGTTGTGCTGCATGTCATCCCCACGGATCCTCCCAGCATCGTCCATATACGGAAGAAATTCCAGGACGAGCATGACTATACGTGGCCTCCCCGCCGTGGGTTCAGGGAAAGCTCTACCACAACGCGAATCACTCAGATTGATGCACTCATGACCTTACCCGCAGCTGTAAAAGCCTTAAAGCTCGATTAGTTAGACTAATTTTTTTTCTTCGTGCACTGTATCACTCTTTCGCAGCACAATATTGCAGGTTATCGTGTTTCATCGCTGTCGTGTTTACTTTCATGGACTAATAGTAACGTAAATCACTCGAGTTGTAACTGTAGTATTAATTTTGTACTTCTTGTTGCGCATATAATCACTGTTGACAATGGCAGATTCACGTTAACATGTACAAATAATGATTAAATGATCGTTCATTGCTTAATGTTAACATTTAACGTTGTAACCCTTAACCATCATGTCTTCACATCGTCGTCCTGGCGTGGCGTCGAGCTCCTCTGACCCCCCTGACTCAGATTCAATCTATGCGCGTGGTTCTTCAGTAACATCATTCGATTCTTCTCCCCAACCTGTCAAAATTGGGAAGCGCAAGTCAACATCAGAGCCATCGAAATCCAGCAAACGGAAATGCAAGGCTCCAGAAAATAGTGGAGAAGAGCTCGAAATACACGATGTCAAGGCTAAGGCATCTAAATGTCCACGATTGCAAGTTTTTTTCACTTATATGCATGCATATATTGACTGATATCGCATATTAGCCATAGAAAGGATAATCGCAAGGAAAAGTAAGTTTCTTTAATACTTGAGACATTGATTCTGATAAGACTCGAACATCTGAAGGGGTGCTTTAACTCCACGGGACCAATGTCTTCACTTTGCTCGGTGGATCCCTCGAGGGATCGACATGTTTTGCATCCTCAAGGACGTCTTTCGCATTGCACCCATCATCGAGGATGCACGTGCTCACTTGGATGATGACTCCGACGCAGATGACATGCACGATACTCTCTTAGCTAACATGTAAGTGATATTTTTTGCGTTTCGTGACTTTATTACTGCTAACAGTGACTAGATCCAAAGATACGCAGGACCAGATGCTCCGGACGTTCAAGAAGATCATTACAGGTGCCCCTTACCTTCAAGAACTCATAAGAGGTGGTCGCAAAAAATCGGATGAACTGCAGGAGATCCTTGACGAGGTATGTGCGCATATATGCACCTTTCAGTTGACTAATGATCAAACAGATGCAATATTTGATTGGACAGGTGCGATCCGAAGATGCGGCTCATCTGAAAAGGAGCATTGCACGTTATGCAGTGTTTAATGGAAAAGGTCTGGTGCCGCCCGTCTTCCCTGATACCAAGGAATCACGTGCACAGATGGGTCTCAACCACCCTCAACTCGCTCGCATGCTATGCCCCATAAAGTTTCTTTCAGAGTATCAAACGGACCCGTCAGTGTACGTACTACATTATACTTTTTTCTATATTTCTATGAACTAACATCGCCTAACCAGCACAAAAGCCAAGCTTGAGGCTGGCACTATCAAGATGGATGCACGAGCTTGGCCTGCCCTGATGTATAGGGCTGGAGCCACTGGAGTCGCTGGGGAGGACTTCGACATAACAAACGTACAGGACGGCCTTTTCGAAGGATTCCTCATTGAACGTGTGAGTTTCCGTATACTGGTATTCATGACAGGAACTCACTGGCACATTATTCAAGGTAATGAAACATATACTCACCGGCCCCTCATCTGCACTCGCTGGAGACGACTTTCATGTCTCAAACTCTTGCAATGCGGTACTTCACAGAATGATGGCTGTGGAAGCCGAAAACATCGCTTATTCAGCTGTCCAGGTGAGTTATTCCCTTGAAGGCAATATACTGATTCATCCATTTTCTATAGGCACGCTCTGCAATTACCTCTCGTGACAAGTGGTCCACGGACGATGGAAATTTCTCATATCAAAAATTCTATTACAGAATTATCGACGTCATTCGCAATCCACCGGACAAAGCATGGGCTATGGCGACTCTGCAACATTATAACCTGTATGTCAAAATTTTATAGTAGTACATGCACTGATTGTTTTACTTTTTAAGGAAACTATTCAAAGACAAGGCTGGACGTGCTGCTGCCCTCTCGACCTCTGCAACCTCTGATGTCGGAGAGCCGGACGAGGACGAGGACGACATTGCGCTGATGCGCAAACAGTTTGCCCTTCAATCTGCGAATCCCTCAAGTGTAGCGAAACCTGTCTCAACTCCTCCTGTTCCAGCAAGTTCTGAGATGCTTCCCCCACGGCTGCGCTCAACCAAGGTCACAAGCCCGCCTGTTTCGCCTTCTCCAGAGCCACCCTCACCTGCTCCACCCACTCCCAAGCCACGTCCCATTCCTAAGCCACGTCCCATTGCGAAGGCGCGACCGGAAGCTCCAAAGTCACCTGCACCAAGTCCACCCACCCCCAAGGAACGTCCTGCTGTGGAGGCACAAGCTCCGAGCTCACCTTCACCTGCTCCAAGTCCACCCACTCCCAAGGCATGTCCTGTTCCCAAGGCACGTCCTGTTCGTAAAGCCCCATCCGAGGAATCCACACCACTTCCCCGCAAAAAGGGAAAGGTGGCCCCACCAGAAAGCCCACTTACAGAATCCGAACCGTCAGATGAGGAGGTTGAGACTCCAGTTTGAAGATTGCCTCAGCAAGCTCGACCAAAGGCCGGCCGCAAGACTGCCGCATCCGCTAGTGCACCAAAGAAAAAGAAGGGAAGAAAATGACCTGTAATGATTTTCCATTGTCTCGTCATTGACACTGATTTTCTCACCTAGTGTGTGTCTCATACTACCGCATCTGCCTCACTCCACGTCGCTGTTCGTCGTTGCATGTTTTGCTCTTTTCGCATGTCATCCTACCTCTAGAGTCCTTCTGTCATGGGACGCTTTGGCGCATGGGCGCACTTAGATGTACTTTTAGAACCTGCTCTGTCCTTGTAATACATTACTGCAATGAAATGGTCTTATCAGATTTTCTCGAGTGATCAGAACTTATCAGAACTTTCAACATATCAATGCTTCTAAGGTCACAAACTATGCTAAGGTGCGAGTTACCTACTCAACTTCCGTCATCTGGCCTGAAAAAGCTTTTATCAACCAGACCTTATATGTTTCTTTACCCGCCTTCCGTACGCTGATGCACCTGGTCCACCTTTTCTGACCTTCCGCATCCTGGCCAGCCCTTAGCAGCCCAGATCCGATTTGGGGAATTTTGGTGATGAACTTGGTGTTGCCCGCACTGCCATTCAGCCAGGCATACATGGCCTGTTAGCCTAGCTGCTGCCTGTAAGTGGCTTGAATTGGGTTATGTGGTTGAGAGATTACCTGAAGCATTGATTGGATAGTATTGTCGTCAGATTTGGGGCACTGCAGCTTGAAGTCATCGAATCTGGTCAGTGCCAGTGAAGTTTATCACCAATTTTATGACTGACGTTGACCTCTCTTCTCTTGCAGAGACTTGCGTTAAGTGTTACATAAAGTGATTTGCAACAGCGCGAAGTGATTATACTGACTAACACGAACTTGCCTGCCCTAAACCAATGATGTTGGTTCTACTCAGTCACGGTGATAGTCAGGCTCCTTCCCATCCTTGTTGGAGAGGAAGGGAGCGGCATCCGAGTGCGGTAGTTAATGCTTAGTAAACCGGAAACGTGCGCAAACCTTTCAAACCCAGCCAAACTTTATCCCCCCAACCTCTCCAACAGCGGCTGGCACAAAACATTTGTAAACAAGGGCAGCCACAGCGGCAAAAACCCAGAAAAGTCTGCGGAAGTTGAAATATATATGTATCGCTAATAAATATATACGTATATATATATCAATATGTCATTAACAGACTCGGTGGACGACGTTCTCGAAACCCTACAGCGCGTCGGCATTTCAGCATCAGAATTTATACTAGTGCTTCTATCAAGTGAAAGATATGGTACTCATCCGGCTGTAGAAGATATCCTCGTTAATGGCCGTGAAATTCTTGATGCTCTTGTGAAACAAACCACGAGTACCAGATCGAAATGGGCTACTGATATCACGAAGGAAATCTGTGCACGAGAAATCTGTGACCTTGCTGCCAAGGATAACGGAACTCACTTTAATGTGACACACACCACGGTGAAGCAACTGGAGGATTTTAGGGTGGCCGAGTTAGCTGGAATCATGGAGAAATCTGCACCGGTAACATGGGACTTACTCGAGAGCATGTTGTCTGGGCGAACACGATCTAAAGTAGCCATCAGGAGGGATCACGATGGTGATGTTATCATGGAGAATAATAGCGACGAAGAAGCTTACTGGGAGGAGATCGGAGAAGGAGATCTCGAGGGATCATTGATATCAAGGCTTGATACCAACAACGCGGAATTCGATAGAACCAGACTGCAGACACGATGGACAGCAAAGATCTTGCTCGTGCGCGATTTCGCTGCCTTTCGAATCAATATTACTGACATCGCTACATGTAATCAAGAAAAAAATCACCGTTCTCAGTATTATGACAAGGAGTACGAATCAGCGGTCAAATACCTTTCAAAGTCTACTTGGGATCTTCCTACAATCGACGCACACACCACAGAAAGTCATCGAAACGCTGGAACGGATAGGTGTATCAGTATCTGCAAATGCTATTCATGCCGCGACGAAATCATTATCAGCGCAAACTCACCAACACCTCCAGTCCCTTGGACGGTCACTTCTTGCAGCGTATGCATATGACAACTTTGACGTAGACCTGAAAACTCATCAGCACAAAATTGAAAATTCGACGGAATCTCTCAAGCATCTCACATCCGGCCTGATGTTCCCACTGCAGCATGAGATCTCCAAGGAGGACCTTAGGTGTTCCGAAGAGCTGTGGAAGACATCGCCATTTAATACCCGAGTACAAGTGCCACCAAAGAAAGGATGGACACACCTGCTCGGTCTTCACATGGACACACCTGATGAATCAGGTCTTAGCCGTCGTGATAGATTTAATGCATGGAAGTTTCTCTCGGACCTCATTTCATACGGCCCTCCGTACTTCTCTCGATTCCGTGACCAACTTCACGAACCCGAGGCCATTGAAGCCATCCCCATCACCAAAACACCGATTATCGCTACATCTGCAATGGATATTAGTAATTCAACAGTTGCAGGTAATATACAAAGCGTTGTTGACCTGCTCGAGCAGGGCGGAATCAGAGATCCTGCAGTTGTCGATGATCCAGAGATGCCCGACATCTCAGAGTACGTAGTTCTGTTCCATGGTGACCTTGGGACAGGGGAACGTCTTCAATCAGCACAGCAGTGTCGAGGAATAGAAAACACACCGTGGAACTGTTTACAACACATTATCTTCGTCCCTGGTCTTTGTCATTTGAAGATGGCGGCTGCAGACACAATTTGGCGGATATTCCTGCAGGCCAGTGCAGCACGACTCGATGAAACTAGCCTCATGCGAGATGTAGGTATCTTGCGACCAAAGGAAACTGGCCACTACGGATCAAAGCCGGGGTTCCGTCGTATGCATGAACTGATTATGCACGACGGTATTTGTCGTCGCCTTGATTGTTGGAGAGTCGAGGCCAAGAAACGCGACCCAAAGTGGACAAGTCTGGAGGAATTTGCAGTATCAGAGCCAACTTGGGAAGACATCGAAGCAATGGCACGCACCCTTGCTCGTAATTATGTTGCAGGTCACCAACTTCGACGCATGCGACGCACGCCAGCACCTCAACGTGACGTGCAATATGAAAATGGACTCCTCTTGAACAAGTACATGCTTGTATACGAGGAGCTGTCATATGCAATGAATAGCGGAGACATCGGACGGGTTGAGACTTGCCTTGTGACATGGATCCCCATGTTTAAGGCTACAGGAAAACATAAATATGCAAACGCTATGACAGACTTCCTGTGCAAAGTACATTTCGTGTATCCTGCAGGATTGAAGTAAGCGTTCCGAAGCATCCTCATCTACTAAAGACTTACAATTAGTAGACGGGCTGTTCACTATCACATCATGATCAATCCAACTGGGAGGAAAGGAAAATTTCGAGGGGTAGACTGGTGCGTTGAGTTGAACAACCTTTTCACAAAGGTACGTGTCCCTCGTCACTATTAAAGATGCAAGTCAGTAAGTACGAGTCACAGGTTATCAATGGAGGAAAAGGATCAAACCACACTGTTTCGAGGATTATAATGGAATCTCCACTCATTCAGATATACCGGAACTTACATACAATGTTCCAGAATGACTTCCTGCACACTCAACAAACGACGCGACATGCGGAGGCAGATTTGTCAAAAACGTTCCAAGTCCTATGTAGACAGATGAAAAAACACTCCCCAAACGAAATAGTGAAGGGGCGTGGAAGCTATTACAGTATCCCTGACGTCCTTGCCAAGGGACAGGAGTTGATGGAAAAGAGTAACATAGATAACGAAGACGGAGGGCAAGAAGCTGCCGTTGGGGGAGGCGAGGATGAGCGCCCATCAGTTGATGATGTCGCTGTTGAATTAGTTTGGTAATAGGTAGATATAATTGTGGCCGACCAGCGCTCTGCCCTAGATTATCAGAATTCGCCTTTCTTGCAAGATACAGAGTTACTTACCAGCGCTCTGTCCTGGATTATCAGAATTCACCGACCAGCGCTCTGCCCTAGATTATCAGAATTCGCCTTTCTTGCAAGATACAGAGTTACTTACCAGCGCTCTGCCCTGGATTATCAGAATTCGCCTTTCTTGCAAGATACAGAGTTACTTACCAGCGCTCTGCCTGTTACAATAACATTTAGAGAGGCCCCTATACTCATTTTCCTTTTGCTTCTTAAACGGGCCGTCCGTACCACGCTTATCTCTTATCATGCCTATCTCTTATCTTGCCAAGCGGGCTGTCCGCCTCTTCTTTGCTTCTATCTTGATAAACACATTTACAAGCTCCGCTTGAACACTGGTATATAAACCTACCTACCCATGGTTGTATTCTTTACTTTAATCTACTGGGTTTTACCTGGAACATTGTCCTTCAGCAAGGTCTCCAACCTTGCTGCCTAAGAACCACTATTCTAAGGGAGTCAGCGACACTCGCCTTAGCCAGAAACACTTGATCTCTCAATCGAGAGCAGACTTACGTCTATCTGGCATCCTGCCGATTGTCTACTCAGACAGAGATAGCCCGACTCATCCCAGTCGTAACACTGCCCTGGATTACCAAAATTTGCCGCAAGATGCTGAGAATTATTCTCATTCTCCTTCCCAGCTGCCGAAGATATCCGCGATGGATGCATTGGACAAACACGGCCACGTTCTGGTCAAAAGGTTGAGTCAGTGAAGATAAGGTGAACAAAAGAGCAACTTACTGTTATGGCCAGCCTGACCACAAGCGCTGCACCTCGACACCCTTTTGACGCCAGCGGGGGGATTGAGGGCTGGGTGTTGAGCTAACCCATTGTTCAGTGCACTGACAGTGTTGGATAGAGGGCGTTGTTGTAGGGGGGTAGTGGTATAGAGTGAGATTGGAATGATGCGGTGGATTATGGCGATCACCTCCCTGGCCAGATCGTCGTTGACAGACCAATGTGTTTCCTTGCGGAGATCCTCGATGATTTTAATCTTCTCAAAATGGGCGCAGTGAACGATCCGGTCAAGGACTGAGTCACCCATTACAACGGTTGGACCAAGGTCAATCAGGTGTGAGCGTCCATAAATTTCCACAGTCTTCTCGTCTCTCCAATCCTCCAGTGCTTCGCATAATTTGTACTCCTGTGGGCCCATGGTATATTTTGCAAGTCGAGAGCGGATAGGAAGCCTAGGTGGTTGATGGACAATGATGGGATCAAATGATGAGAACGCTAAAGGGTGATGGATGTCACAGCACACTTTAGGAATTATGGGAGCACAACGTGAGCAGCCTTCTGTATCTGACGGGTCGCATATAAGGTGACTCGATTCTATAAAATATTATTACGATTATTAATATAGTATAGGAAAGTCGCACCTGCTGATCCGTTGTCAAATTGGATATTAAATATCTTCCGACGACACCCAACACCACGATAATTGGCATTGATCAACAAATCCATTGCTCGATCCAATTCATTCTCTCTCCTCTGCCTTGATACCCTCTCCAATGTGCCTGCCGGTGGTCTCATTAATTCCTTCAACTGCGTGTCAGTAACTATAACCGTAGGTATGTTTGCCGCTGAGCCACTACTAGTAGCCTGGGCACTATTGTCTCCTTCTGGGTGTGCAATACCAATAGCAGTCGAACTGTTAATTATGCGGCGTTTGGTATCCGGTTGATCTTCCGGTGCGTCTGTTGCTTTCTTTTTACGCTCCTGACGCTTACGCTTATCTTCACGTACATCATCAAAATACTCTTTTTCTGCAAACAGCAATGCAGTCCCTTCCACTGCACGGTCCCTAGCTGCATGACCAAACCGCTGCCAGAGGGCAGACAACTTGCACGATGCTCGCCACTGAATGACCAAAGTCACATCTGGTACGTCCATTCCCTGTACATTAATTAATACCTCCCTGACATCATTATTTGGGCTCATGTGCCTTACCATTCCAAACGCCTCCGTGGTACACAGACCCCACGTATCTCCAGCAACGAGGTTTGTGACTTCGTCCTCCTTAAATTCGGTAGTCATGTTGGAGTTGAACCATTTGACTTTGTCTCGTAGATCTGGCGGGAGACGCGCCTGCAAGTACTTTGTGGCGCTGATGCCATCTTGGATGCTGTCGAAAAAAACGAGGAATTTTGGTGGTGATGGATCGTGTGACTTTATGCCGGTAGGTATGAGGAACGCGAGATCTGCGTATGACGCAAGGGAGTGTTTGATTTTGTGGACTCCAATCTTGATGTTTGGACGGTCCGTGGATACGTGAATGGTGGTGAGCTTTTCTGATCGGATGTGAAGGAGCCTACGTATGTCTCTCAGAGCATCTGACGTGAACGTTGCTGATGCGATCATGAAAGGTACCTGACAAGGTAGGATATAACGCAAGCGCCCCAAGTCCTTGTACTCTGACCGAAAATCTCCCCAGGTCACAATGCAGTGTGCTTCATCAAATATGATGCCAATTAATTTCGAGGCGAAGTCAACGTTTTGCAACAGCTTCTCGAATTCTCCACCTGGCTTCATCAGTTGTTCTGGGCTGGTTATAATCGCACGGTAATGCAAGTCTTCTATGTCCTGTGGTGAATACAATGATTAAATGATTATAACTAACAGATAGCCTTTGATTTACACGGAAATTTGCTCTGCTTGCTGTCTCAGCAGAGATCGAAATGCTTGGGATACCGGCCTTTTCGAGGAAGTTGACACTCTGTTTCCCTAGCTGGTTAAGTGGAGTCACGACGATTAAGACACCCGTGTTTTTGAGAGCTAACGGCGACCAGAAGGCAAGTGTTTTTCCCATCCCTGTCCCCGCCATGCAGATAATATCACGATCATTTTGCAGGAACGCATCTGTAACTTTGAGTTGCCACAAGCAGGCTCTCTTGCTGAAACGATCCTGAAGTTTCTCTCGAATGGCAGAGAAGTTAGGAGCTTCAGCCGGCATATGACAAAAAAGGATAATATGTTGAGAATAACATTATATTTATTAGCGATACATATATATTTCAACTTCCGCAGACTTTTCTGGGTTTTTGCCGCTGTGGCTGCCCTTGTTTACAAATGTTTTGTGCCAGCCGCTGTTGGAGAGGTTGGGGGGATAAAGTTTGGCTGGGTTTGAAAGGTTTGCGCACGTTTCCGGTTTACTAAGCATTAACTACCGCACTCGGATGCCGCTCCCTTCCTCTCCAACAAGGATGGGAAGGAGCCTGGGTGATAGTAAGACTAAACGACTTATCTATTCCATCATCTATAATATATTTAAGGGAGACTAGCCCTTTATAGCCAGTAATGGTAAGTTATGTTGCTTCTCCTCACCTTGTTAATACTAACACCGCGGTCGGGAAGCCACTCCGAGTGTTTCTATGTCCAGGTCTATTCAATCTTCGTGGGCATCAGTGACGACGTGACCCAGGACCTAATTTACCGTACTTAGCGTGCATGTGACAAGGTGCCCACGGCTGAAATAGTTCAGAGATTAACTTCCTTGCATCAGAATCAGTACACCATGAGGACTGTATGGCATACCGAATGCTTTACAGTGCACTCTTGCGAGGTTGGAAGCACTCAACAATCGTCGAAATCATTGCGTGAGTATGAGTCTGCCTTCATTCCTCCTGATGTATGCCATTGCATCAGAGGTTCTGTGTGGTACGTTTAAAATGGCTCATCTCAGAACTGGGGTCCGTAGTGCTAATCTTGGTGCAGCGTGAACCTTGCCAGTCATTGTTGGTCTATTGTCCCGCGTTAATGGGCACAGTGAAACGACGCGGAATCCAGTGTCGACCTGCTTTTTTGCAGCACATCAACGCGTCGTTCTCACAAGTTGAGGCTGCAGACAGACCTATGAGCCAGCGAGTGCAAGGATGGGAAGGACGACATACATGAAACATTGTGGTGGCGGTAAGGGCAAGGCAGGTCGAGACTTTACGGTTTTCTGTGCACGTATGTAATAGGTTATGGAACTCATTGTGATCGCCGTTTAGTTAGCGTAACCGAGTAAATTTTGCTTCAATCAGCTGAAGTACAATAACATATGCAAATCAGATCTAAACTGTCCGTGTTGTAGTTAAACGAACTGGGTGTACTCGGAACACATTGAACAATTTGACAGCGTAACGCTACTGGCACGTGATCCACTAGGATGGATAACGCGTAGGCAGTGATGATTTCCCATCATTTGACTGCCAGTCGTCCATTAAGTATTGGTCCATGTCGTTACAGTTCTTGCCGTATGATCTTCTATTCAATATCGCCCAGGATCTTGAAATCGATGATGTGCACAATCTCCAGGCGGTCAGTAGTACATTTTGGTCTCTACCGTGATATGATCTTATAACTGACTCAATCTTTCCGCTAGACTTGCAAGTCCTTGCGTTTGTTCACCCTTACCAGACCCGTATATAGACAACTAGCCCATGACTTACTGGCTAGATCCAGGCCACTTCCTCTCCACTCCTTCCAGCGCCTCTCTGATCTTTCAACACCCGCGCTCATTGCCGCTGTCGACCGTGCACGAGGTTTTGAGAAGGCGTGGGCAATCCGCGCCCCTCGACCGGCTCGCCCAAATCCCTACTACGGAAACCAGTGGTACATCACTATCAGCGTACCTTCTCATGAGGAGATCGATTGGTTATCTCCCATCACCAGCAGCTACACACTCTGTGCGACTAAGAGCGGCCGTGTCTTATGCTGGGATGTGAGGAGGGATATCTGCCTTGCTGAGTGGGACCCGAGGTCCTTGACATGTTCCGGTAGAGGGGATGAAGATGAAGACGAGGACGACGAGGATAAATGGGAGTTATGGAAATGTCGTGTCGAATTCGAAGAGCGCACAGTATATTTCACCATGGCCAGGGTTCTCAAGGGGTTGCCAGTTTTTCATTTTCTTTGATCTTCAGACTCCATTGACACGCCTTCTCAGATATCACGATGACCGCGTGATGGAGTTCATGCTCATGCGATTATTCTTCCCTCACGAACTCGACGATTACGATGAAATAAACCAGGCACAACTCTACGTTCAATCTCCAATTCTTTCTCACCTCGACCACTATGCCACTGAGCCCCAGCCACGGGAACGTGAAGGAGACTCCCCGATCCAATTAACGCCTAGAGTCCCATCGCCCACGCAAGATCCGCCCCCGTTGATTCCGATTTACGATCAACCCCCCACCCCCACTCCTTCACCACCCGCCTCCCAAACACCATCACCACAAAACTCATCCCTTCTTCACTCCGGCAGCTTCGGCCCATCCAGCACTACATCCAGCGCTCAATGTTCCCCAATGGCGATCAACGCGATGCTACCGCCCGATTTTGCAGAATGCAGCGATCCTCCTCCATTAAATGGAATTCCATCCAATCAGGCGAATACAGTTGGAATTAGAGGTGATGGTGGTGCTGGGGAACCGTACCAAGGACCTGTTTTCTGCCATCCCTCCCTCCGAGCAATGTTTATCCGCAGCGCGCCTGCGACACCCTCTTGGGAGAGATATATCCCGCTTCCTATGAATTTTGGTGAGCATTTCCTATTCGTTGAGGTGCCAATACAAATTGTATATTGTATTCTAACAGATCAACCCCCGCCTCCGCCCCCAGTATCGACTATTCCCATTCCAGAATCGGCGCGACCGGTATTTGACACGCTCACGAGCTTCCATACAACGGGGGTCATCATGAACGTGTTCCTTCTTGACCCACCACGTCGCTTGCTGAGCGCTTTTGTATGGATTGCGAGTAGTAACACTATCGGTGAGTATCAAGATCAGGATTTCCAAATTTCTTCTATCTCCTGGCGTTACTATAATTGAAGCGTACTGACTGCCTTATGTATATGACAGGGTTGTACGTACTCCTTGACTGGGCGAAAGACGACTATGTGTTTGTGGATACTGGTGTTGGATGTGTGAGTGGTCTTTGCGGTTGTGTTTCCTTTAAGTTACTCTTGCTCCATGTTTGGTGTTGGTACATGCATTGGTTTGGTGCGCATACAGCTGATGCCGCGTTCTGCAACTCCTCTGCCATACCTATGCATTTACACGAATATAGTGGATTCAACAGCATACTCGTCTTTATCCAGCTGCTTTACCATACAATATTTCACCTGTTAACATCCTTTTATAGCTCATCTCCTCCAACTGGTCCTGCATCCTCCACGAAGACCAAATCGTAATCCACAGCGAAGAAGCCGACGCCGCATACCAGCACTTTTACCCACTCGAAGTGCTTAGAACATATGGCCGTCCACGTTGTATCGCTTCCCCGGCAACTCACGCACAAACTCAACCTCAGGCAGAAGAGGGCACCATTCAGGAAAACAACGGCGAGGACATACCAGACTCGTTGAAGAGCTTGTGGAATAAACTCCCAACGATATGTGCGAGACTTACGCCGAGTAGGAGCATCTCAAAGAAATTCGTGTTTCCTTCTGTACCGGGGACCTCGGGTGCCGTGATTGGCATGCCTCCTGTAGGTGATGAAGATGAAGATGACACTGAGGAAGAGGATGAAGTTAGTGCCGCGGAAGAAGATCAAGGACAGACCGAAAATAATACTGAGCCCGTTAATGAAGAAGAACAGACCGGCGCGAATGAGGAGGTATCTCCGACAGCACCTTCCGTTGAAGATGAGCAGCCCGTGGGTCATGAAGAACCTGTAGACGAGGAGGAACCACCAGATGACGACGAAGAATTTGAAGATACTCACGAGGGCGAGGAAGAGATGCCTTTTGCTCCGAAGAGGACAGGCAAAAGGCGTACACGTTTCGAAGATGAAGAAACAGGAAATGATAGTAGCGCAGACGGGCCCAGTAGCTCGCAAGGTGGTGAGGATGAAGTAAGGGTTGAGGATGAACTTAATGCAGGGTCTTCATCCTCAAACCAACACAGTCCCAATCCTGAACCTACGTTGCAAGGCGATGAAGATGCATCATCTTCTCCATCCACCACCCCAACCTCTCCCGGACCTCAGCAACCCATTCAAGATGTAGTAGGTGCGGCAACGTCTGAATCGTTCACAAACCCTTATCCTTTCCCCCCTTGGTACCCCGAGTCTGCACACTTTGTGCGGCAGTGGTGGCCTACCCTCCCTGGTGTCCCGCGGTTGAGCTGTACCGTTGTCCTCCTTGCAGCTCACGACCCTGAGACGCACCGCACGCGTTTTGTGCTCGCGCAGCATTACTTCAAGGTCCCAATAACCCCTGAGGGGCTACCTGTTGTGGGAGAATCAAGCACGAGCAGCTCGTCTCGTTCTGCACAAGCAAACGACGATGACATGCTTCATCTGTGGTATGTCAGCACACCGTTCGAAGTCGTCTGTGTGCTCGAAGAGGGCGACGACGATGAAGATACTGGCGACCGCCCACGACCTCTCGTGGCTGTTGATTTTGGGCATGCAGTGTGGGTGGAGTATGGTTCTTCTGTTGTGCCTCCCACCCTCAATGTTCGCGCACGCGCCGACAACAATTCTCCTGGCATATACGACACAGATATTGTTCAACCGAATACAGAACCAGACACGCAGCTCCACGCCCACTTTGCGCATTTCGAGAACGATCACCCGCATCCGCACCCGCGGCGGCGGGTTCCCAAATGTCTGCGCTTCGTTACCTTCCCTCCTGTGCACGGCCGCCGGGAGCGGACTGAAGAGGCGGTGGTGCGCACGCTCGAGATCCCAGAGGAACTGGACTTGGATGTCGTTGAGACAATCAATATTGATCAGAGTCAAGGGGCTGTGATTTTGAGTGTAAGGGACGGTAAGATTTTTATTTTGAGGTATGAATGATATTTTTGGAGTGGGAGCAGGCGGATGTTTGTTACGTAGAAATTATGAAAGTGAGGATTGTGATATAGGATTAAACTCCATAAAAGTCGTCCTCTGACGAGCTGGGGACTGTATCTGGCTGAACCTATGCAGACTTATGTATATATCGTACAAAATCATAACTATGTTCCTTAACATTCCCCTGTACTATGGATACTACATAGTTTACCCACTTCAAGCGTTGAGAACCGAAAAATTTCACCGATCTTCTTCAAATGGACTCGCGATCACAAATAGGGCCCTGGGTAACTATAGGGCCCACACGAGTACGTACAGCCTAATACAGCGTCAGCCGTTTCTGGACCACCGTGGAGCTGATTATGACAGGGCCAACCGCCAGGCTGATGTATATAATATCATCTCAACATCCCGGACCAGACCCGGACCACACGACACGACATAGCCCGAAAGTACAGGAAGCGCAGTATACAGCACATTGATCAAAGGCAAGTGTCTTGTGTCAAAACACCGCAGCTGTCAGGTGGAGCTTGGGTAGTAAGTAGATATAGTTCTGATCAAATGAAAATAGTCGGTTTCTCGAATGCTCTATTAAGCGCCAAAACTTGAGTGGTTCTGGGCTGTTGCTAAACTGCCCCAGACTCCCACTCACTCAGCGAGGGTGTTCAGCGAATCTATTGAATGGAACAAACTGGAGAGCTCTTGTCAGTTCGGAAGCGGCTTGAGAAGTTCCGTACTAATTGCATCCGAGAAAATAATGGCTGTAGACGATAATATCATCACATCCTATAGCCAGTGCTATCCAGGCCACACCGCTTCACCTTGTAATCCCACCGCCGTACTCCCGCCCATCCGAAGAGTCCTAGTCAACACTTGCCCAACTCAAGCTCAGCTGAGCTCGAGTCAGTCCTAACCTGTCGAATATCCATTCGGAGCTTCAAAACACTTTCCCCAAACAGAATCGTGTCTGCATTCTTCAAATACAAACAAGCACAGACTGCAAGGAAATTCCAAGGCCAAATCTCTATAACGGGAGGCTACAGCTCTATCTATCGAGGACTGAGTTTGACCGACTACTACAGCATCCGAGTCATGATAGCGCAGGACCACCGGCTACGAGCGGGACTCTGGTCACTGCGCCTACGCCAGGCCATCCTACCAGTACAGCAGCTGTAAAACAATTCGGGCGAGGCAATTACAAGTCTAATGCCATTCCTGCCAATTGAAACCCCATTTTGGAGTATAAGGAGAGCCCAGTACAATCTCTATTATCTACCCTCATAGCCCATGAGGCACTGCGCCTAAACGTTTTCCCTTGTGTATAGCGGTGTATAAATACACAAGTCTCTCTCTGTCAGAGCCGAGGACGGTCTAAAAGACCGTGGCGTCTTTACTTGTCAACATGCTCATTCTCAACGATCACCGTTTCATTGACATGATCGTGACATCAAAGCACGGAGGCTCAGAAACACTGGCATAGCTATGTATCAACTTGCCAAAGACGGTGCCAACTAATGGTCCGGTGCCAGGCGGGCCAGTTGTATTAAGTCTTTGTGCGGCTCGTGCCACGATGTTGTATGTGCGCCACATTCAAGTTTTTGAACAGGTTTTAGGAAAGTTTCCCATAAGAGTGAGTCATGTACGATCGCCTTTCGAGAGAACGGTTGGGAGTTACTAGCGCCTTACCTTAAAAGCCTATGTACTACTATGCTAAAAATATGATGCTCCAATATCCACGCGGTCAAACATCCACTCATACCGCTTTCAAAGAAATCCACACCTCAAATCCGTTATTGAACACGAGCATGCACTTGCATAAGTAAGGCTAGATCTCACAAGTTTATGAATGAACTCATAAGCTCACTGTGGTTTTACCTTCCAGGTCCAGATGGATGCCAACATCACACCCATCAACGTTCTCGTGGCTTGACGATGTTGAGCAACTCGGAAGCACAAGCTTGACCAACGATGGATGCTCGTTACACTATAGAACTTTAGGACGTGCATCCAGCGATCAAGATTCAACGACTTCAACCCTGCACTCTTGTCTTGAGTTGCTTGACCAGCACTGTGACAGGCTTAACAATACTTACAAGGAAATTCTCGAGATTCGCACCCACATTGCAGAGATTCTTGCTAGCTCCCAGTCGGAAGTAGCCATAGGGAATGTGGGTGCATGGGACAGCAGCGTTGACCAATCATCGGCACAGTACGCATCTCTTTCGCAACCATCTGTCGGGGTCATTAGTACCCTGACAGGTTCTCCCATTCACCAATTTTCTCAAGGTAAGTCTTTCTGAATTTTCAGCCTTTCAAACACGGTTACTGAATGAGATGATAGAACCATCACTTCCCGTTGCCTCCGGTTCTGTCAGCTATGAGCTTGGTACACAGTCATCCTTACCTGAAGATGACACGTGCTCTGAGGAACAGACGTTATCTGGCCCTTTAGTCAGACGCCACCAACGACTGTATCTGCCAGTTGTACAGGATGGCGAGGATAAGGTGAAATGCATGTGGTCAGGGTGTTCAAGTGTTATCAAGAAAGATAGCTACACTCGCCATGTGAACGAGGTTCATAAACGTCGGTTTAAGGCTGTCTGCACTACCTGTAGAAAGGAGTTCCTGCGTCCATATATGAAGAAGACTCATATCTGTCCTCGTCGATTTTCCAAACGTAGCAGTTCCTAGAGCAAGGAAGCTCCCCGCAAGGCGTCACATTTATTGTAATATCGTTCGTATAATCGTCATTGAATCCCCCTATTTGTTTTTTAAAGGCAATTTAATGTTGAGATCTCTGATAAGCGCACCTATGATATTGCCGCACGATTTCGGTCCTGCTATGAGTCCCCTTTGCATGGTTAGTACCAGTAGAACTAATACGTGTTCTTTGGCCCGGGCCCGGGATATGATACGCGGTATCCACTCCAAGCTTGCTTCCAAGCATCTGGCAGAGATCATGATGGGCACAATATGATATCTGTTGCTTTGTTGGTCCGCATATTACGGAATCTTAAGGGGAAGACAGTCGTTTCATGTTTCCAAATCTAGGGTGACCTCACGGAAGTCCAAGCCTTTTTCTACTCGGATAAACGCAGCCCCGCCTCAGGCTCAATATTGTTGGTGTCTGCCGGATCTCGCTTTCGACAATGTCAATTTGAATACTTGGCGGTCTACATGGCCTTCTTAATGCCGATAACTTGAGGAGTTAGAGTGGAACCGGTAGTCTTGAAGGATAACTACTACTCGGACTCTCAACTTGCCCTGAAAATTTTACATAGCCTATCGCCGACCATGATAATCTTAATCGACTCATAATCGAATAAGAATCGTGCTCTCATGTGTTAAAATATCTTCACGGGTAGTGACTCATCCCTTGTCCCGACTTGTCCTCCCAGGTTTCTTCGTCAACAACTCCCTCATGTCGGGCAAGCAGGATCTTGAGAGTAATGACTCTACGACCCTAACGAGCTGGAAGAAATACCTATTGACCGATATCGATGGAGACAAAGCCACCGCTCCGCTGTCTGCATATTGTTTTATGACTGGTTTTATGTGTGTCTTCCGAAACCTTCCGTGCTTCCCAGTCACTCATATTCGTCCTCATCTCCAGTGACGCTGTCTGTTTCTCTGCCATTTTTGTATGGTGTGCTTTTCAAACCGGAAATACTGTACAGGTGCGATTTGGTATTCTTTGTGACTCGGCCCATGGTCAAACTTTTACTCTTGTATCTGTCTAGCTCGGCCTTGCCCTCGCCCGCCTTTTCAATGGCCAACACGACTACTCTTTCCATATCGCAGATCAACAAGCCCTCTGCTCTCTCATCACATTCATCATTGGCGCATCCATTGCCCGCATCGGCGACAAGATGGGTTGTAAAACCCGGGCATGGCTGGCTCTCGGCACTATGATCCAGACCCTCTTCACCATGGCTGCAGCTATCGCCATCTGGAAGAATGGGCAGACGAGTGTTGCGGATTCACGTGCTGACCCAGCATGGACCAATACGTTGTCCTTTGTCTGTGTTGGCTTCATGAGCGCAAGCATGGGTCTCCAAGGGATCATGGGTAAGAGGACGAACACGCAGTTTACCACCACGGGTGAGTTTTCTCCGCATCATTCGCCTGTTCCCATACTGAACGTTCCATTCAGTGGTATTGACGACGACATGGTGTGAGCTGATGGCTGACCCTCAGCTCTTTAACTTTCGTCGGCTCGTCATCTCCCGGGATCACAAGATCCTTGCCATCGGCTCGTTGTTCTTGGGCGGGCTTTTGGGACGTGCATTAGTCGATGTAATAGGCTCCGCCAGTACTCTTGGTGTTGGCACGGGTTTGAGGTTTATTGTTAGCATCTGGTGGCTCTTTGTCCCCGGCAAGGCAGCCAAGCGGTAACCGCCAAAGTCCGTAACATTTACTGTAATAAGCAAACATAGATGGGTTGTAGAACTGATACGAGTATTGTATTTTGTTCGATCTCTAACGCTTAGCATCGATGTGGACTTGACACATCAATATGAACTGACCTGTAGCTTCACACCTTACAACTTTTGCGGGAGGGTTAACAATATATAGATTACGTCATCTCTGCATGCACACGGAATTATCTTGTGAAGGTTCGAGAAGTGTGTTACGTGGTGATATGAAGGCTGTTCAAACGTTCACCCTTAGCTACTTGAAATCCACTCTTCCAAGAATGTATGATCTAGATCAATCTGAGAGTGTCACATCTAATATAGAAGACACATGTACCGCAGGGGCCTGCGCCTCGAGGTCATCATGTACACGAGGAATGAGAACTGCGCGGTAGACAAGTATCCCGCATCGTCCTACCCACATAGCATAACCCCATCGACCTCAACCCAATCCAACCATGACGTGGAACGTCCCATACTGGACGGTGTCGTCGCCCTCAAGTGCCAGACCCGTCCTCACTACCCAGACCAATTCTCGAAACGACGCCCAAGCGGAGCACCGCACCGAATGGGAGGAAATATCCCCCGTGCTAGTCGACTGCGACGCAGATGTTGTCAGCCTTGATGGCAGCAAGACGCATGATGAGATGCAAGTACTGCACCTGTCGAAGCTCCTCGACGAGGCGAAGCAAGAGAACCGCCGGTTTGAGGAGCAGGTGCAGTCCCTGCTCAACCAGTCTATGACTGAGACAAGCAGCCTTCAGTCCAAGATCGCAGAGCTCCGCCAGCGGAATAAGGAGGCTCTTGCTGAGTGCGAACGGACGAAGAAAGAGAAAGAAGATGTCGTTGCTGCGCTCACGAAGAAGAATGATGTCATCAAGGCAACGCTGCAGCAGCAAAACCAGGAAATGCGCCAAGCCCTCGAGGACCTGAATCGCTCCAGCGCTCAAGCTCAAGCTGAACTACTGGATGCAAGGAACAGCTTGCTAATGTGCCGTCAGCAGCTCGCGCAAAGCTCCGCCCAACTCGAGTCCTTGCAGAAAGAACAAACTGCAAGGATGAATCTGACAGACCGAGTTGCTGTGCTGGAGGCTGAGCTGAAGGCCAAAGATACAGAGCTAGCTGAGATGAAGAAGCTCAGCTCCCAGGCTAAGAGTGCAAACGTCGCTATTTCCCGCGATGATTCGACAACCCTTGTGCAGGAATTCAACAACATTCGGGCGCTGCTAGCAAATTGTATCCCAGAGCGTCTTGGGGGTATGTTTGGCACTAGTATGACGTCCTCAAGCAACGAGGTCGTCAGCGCTCTCCGGAAGCTGAACTCCGATATCCATCAAGATGCCACCATCATGGCTGAGTCTATGGCAGAATCATTTGGGTTTAAGAACAGAAGAGGGAGCGAAGATGAAGAGACGACGCTATTCCAGCAAGTGGGCACGACCATTGGCCCAAGTCTCGTCCACTTCTTGGGCACCAAGAGTCATAGCGAGGATCCTATCCTCATCCAGATCGCTTTCCAGACATATATCACTCGGTACCTCTGTTGGCTCTCGACTGCATGGATTGCTAGCGGAGGCAAGGAAAGACTTGGCGCAGCTGATCAGAGTAACACTAGTAAGCGATATAACCAACGCACGAATGCAACTGTTTAACTAAACTCATCTGCAGCCCAAACGGTCACCACAGCATGGAGTGCACTATCGCATATTCTCTCCAAGCATCTCCAATTCGATGACGCCCAACTTTGTTCCGCAGCCGCATCCAAAATCGTAGCCGGGCTCGCTGACATTTTGCTCGTTGCGGGCTGTGATGGCACTCGGCTACAGCTTTGTGATACTTTGAAGCAAAAGTTCAGCGAGAAGATTTCGCTGCTTGCGAAGTCTGGCATGCGCATCAATAAGCTCATCATCAATAGCATCGACCGGGGTCTTGACGTCGTGGTAATCAAACCAGCCACAGTGTTCGATTCCACGTGCATGGACGATGGGTACGATGACGGTGAACGTGACAAGAATACTGCGAACAACCGTGTCCTGTGTCCTACTGATATCGGGTTGTTGCAGCGTTCCAAGGGACCCAATGGCGGAGTGAGGATTCTGTTGAAGCCAAAGATCGCGCTGGAATCTGTGGTGGATAACTTGGACGACTGAGATTGGGTGTTTCGAAATTTCCATGAACGCTGAACGTGATTTTGTGTACATCTTTTGTATATCGTGACGTACCTACCTCGTGTTTCGAATAAGTATTTATCTGTTTTCATCATGGGGTGAGAAAAGGCCCCTGATTGAATGTACTACGGGCGCAAGCGGACATACTTTCTGAGCGATCATAGTCTGATATTCGAAAACGCGCATAACACATGCCCGTGAGAGGTGTATATTTCGATCATATAGGTCGCGGGGTTAGACCTGGCAACCTGTCCTCCATTCATTCTGAAGCCTCAGGCCTCAGGTCGACCAAATGTTTGAACACATAGCCATAAACATAAACCCATTCCCTGCTTGGCGCAATTTCATGCAAGGTCCTTCTACTGAAACGGACACAGCTTATCAAACCGAAGCAAGATACGCGGGGAATCGTAGCCGCCGGTCACAAGACGACACAGCGGGGAGAGAGAGAGCGAGCATTGAGCAGGAAGCACAAGTCCAAAATATGCGTCCGTACCCCACAGTCGAAGAAGCGAGAGCCAGGAGAAGGGCCACGACAGAGCGTATGGACGGGGCAGTACCCTCGCAACGGACAAGGACGATATCATACCGTGACGTTTCACTGTCTCCAACCGCCCAGCGGACCGTGAGACAAGAAGTACGCGCTCAGCCACAGGCTGGAGCACTAGAGAATGACATCAGGGTTCCACCACAGACGGGCGCAGGCTCGTCCCACCCCCCAGAATCTCCAGCCGTCTCTTCTTTACGCAACATCAAAGTCCCTCCGGCATTGCAAGATGCTGAGGAATCCAGAAGCGCAAGGCACTTGCGTTCGTATAACACAGCATATGATTCTTGTCAGCGACCCCCAGCCTCGCCATCTTCTGTTACACGCAGCATGAGCTCTCAGGTGATTGAACGAGACAATCAAAGCCTGGAGGTTGAGCGGTTGAAGAAACAACTTGTAGGGTATAAAAGGCAGAACGAGAAGTTGGCTGGCGAGCGTAGAGATGCTGAAGAAACGACCCGGAACATAACGGTTGCCATACATACAACGAGGACCGAAAATCAACGGTTACATGATGAGCTAACCAAGAGAATTTCAGAAAATCATAGATTACAACAGGAGATGGAGGGATCTACCAATATGTCACGCTCACTCGACGCCAAGCTCCAAGAAACCGAATCCGTGCTCGCATCAACAAGGCACGCTCTAGACGCTGCAACGAACCAACTAAAGGCCATGTCAGAGCAAAAGGCACAGCTGCACACCCTCCTCAACGACCGTACCTTCGAGCTGAAAGGCGCACAGAGCTTCCTGACCACAGCCGACGCCTCTTCCGGAGCTGACGTCATTTCCCTGCTGCAGAGGCTTAATGCCGAGGTACTCCAGAGTGCTGCCTACATGGCGGAATCGATGGTAGATACATTTTCATTCGAGTCGGGTGGGGTAAAAGATGAGGCTGCCTATGCAGCGGTCACGGGACTATTTGGACAGTCACTCGTGCATTATCTGGCCACCAAGAAGCATAAAGATGACCCCCTTCTCATCCAAATCACGTTCCAATCGTGCTTCGTCCAATTCCTCGAGTTCGTGATTAGCTCATGGACCCTGGCTGACAACGATTTCAACAAAATGCTCGCCAGCACATACAGAAGAATACGAAACGGTGGTGAGTGTGAACAGCATCATACAATAGTGTGTATGACGATACTTGTATTCCAGAGGCACAAGCGATTTCGGGGAGGTGGCGGGCGCTCACGAGTGCATACGTCCACAATCACGAGGAGAGCCAGCTCATCGCATTGTTTACACCACAACTCGCGGGTCATTTCTCCAACATCATGCTTGTTGCGGGGTGCTCCGTAGCACCAGACATACTTCGCGCATCAGTAGAACAAAAGTTAAGTGACAAGATTGTACTCCTCTTCAAACAAGCCTTGCAGCTTAAAAAAATCATGATGGAGGAGATCACATCTGCCGACTTGAGAACGGTCACAGTGCCTTTCGAGACCACATATTCTGCAGAGCAGATGGAGGACGCATACGTAGACGGACACCCGGCTACTGGTGGCGTTCGGGTGCTGTGCACGACGGATCTCGGCCTGAGGCGGATGACCAGGCTGGCCCCATCAGGGGAAAAACAGTGGGATAACAAGCTCTTACTGAAGCCGAAAGTTGCGTTGAAGACAGTGGTTGATAGCATGGATGGGTAAATGGTAGTTTCATTCGAAAGTACAATGTGAGATTCTATGCCTCTTCCAACTTGATCTTTTTCGTCGCTGTACATGCTTGTTCATCCTGGCTTTTGTTTCGTAGAAGCTGTATCACATACCTGGATGTCTTCCGTCCATATTTTTCCTCTTGTTTTGTGCTGGACTTAAGTCTAAAAGTATGATTGAGGACGAGAGGCGAAAACGCACGTGGTAGGTCCAGGACCAGCTTCTGCTCATCTTCACTGGCTTTGCTCTGTTGATGTGCACCGTTAATTTCGCATGGCCGAAAGTCTGAGGTATGCAATGTCACGTAGGCTCGCCAAGTAAGATTGGTAATGACGCACAAGGCTTCTGCCGAGAGTCCTGCAGTTGCCTAGGGATGTTCTTGGCGAAAGGCTTTTCGTCGAGATTCTGCTCCAACATTTGGTTTTCATCTGGATGCATGAGCTCTGCAGATGGCCGGTAAGAAGTTGCTGATTGCATCACATTACGTTTTGCGCAATATCACGACGACTGGTTCACGTACGAGGCCCTAGCGGGGGTCCAGCGGTCATGCTCGATCCTTCACAGACTACAACTTTCTGTACCTCGTTCTGCTTCTGTAATAAACTGTTGACCGCGTCTATTAGTTCAGGAGGTGGCTGGTAATCTGCCTGCGTCAAATAGATAGGAAGCAGTCCCAACACTGGTCGCTTACCAGGTTCAGAGCCCATGCCAGACGGTTCTGTTTTGACGTGTTCAAGTTTAACGGGCTTGGAGTCACTTTGAGAATCTCGTGGAGATGTTTGCAAGAACGCCAGAGCGTCTTCCTCTGCAAAAAATGTTACACACGCCATAGATGTGTGAGTGTAAGGGGTGTTAGCATACCTTCCTGGTAGGGATCTAGCTTTTTCATGTATTTCTGGGCTGGAACGTGTTCACCTTCGGCTGGAGTTGGCTGGTTGCTTTCTCGTCCCGCTGAAGGATTCCTTGGCTGATTTGCCTCGTTAATGAACATTCCGTGAGCAGGGTGCTGCGTAGGGGGCTCGTAAGGTCTGAATGCAGACTATAGATATTTAACAAAGGGATAGCGAATTCTAACCACATACAGCTTACAGTGATATTAGCAGGTGCTGCGGGCGGGGGAACATGAGGTAGATTTGTTGTTTCTTGAGATACAGGGACAGGTATTGTTGTTGGAACATGAATTGGTGTTGGCTCAGCTTCTGGGGTAGGTAGTGGTCTAGGTGGTATTGGAAGGACAAGACTGCGAATGGAGCGAGGAGGCTCAGCCCAGCCTGGTTCCGGGTAAGGCGACTTTACAGGAGGTACAAACTTTGGAGTAACATGAGGCCATTCTGCTGCCCAGTTATCTAAAGGTCTGGATTAGGCGTGCAACAAAGTAAAACCAAGACGCCTAAACTCACGATTACTGGGGTCACCGTTGTTGCGAAAATTGTATTCAAAGAAACAGGATGCTCTCCCATCGTTTGGATTCCCATCCCACCTCTTTGAAATAATCGCCAACTTATGTTCCCCAAGAAGTGGCTGAATATCTGTTCCCTTTGGAAGTTGAACAATGACTTCATCTCTCTGCCGTCATTAGATTGCAGACTGCAGTCTGACTCGGGTTGGTACACTCACTGTCCCCATACCAAATATGCATTCAACTTTCGCATCTATATCTTTGTCCTGGAGGATAAGCTGGACCCACGCCGCCAGCCTATTAAAGTCCTCTGGGACGCGACTCCTGGGGACGCGATTCATCCCCCACGGGGTGGTAACGATGACATATTCCGCATTGCGATCTGTGTATGGAGGTCCTGTTTTACTCTTTGCCATCCGGTACTGAATAGTAGTCTCCCCTAAGTCGCGGTCAATGAACCGTGATTATGAAAGACAAAGAGGAATGATTCATAAGCACGACCTTCTGAACTTGTTGCCACTGCCACTAAAGGCTTTTGTCGGCGTCTACTAGTTGACAGTTTACTGGCCGCAATTGCTGGTATCGTCATTGAAGGCAGTGAACCGCGTACATGCTCGAGTCGTTTGTGGAGCGAGAAGATGACTGCCTCGAACTGGGATGGCTCGTCGGATCCCATAAGCATTAGTAAAGTTAGTACGTCAAAAGCTTCACTAGTCACGCACTGCGTTAATAAACATCAAATAGTTAATGGTCATGAATACTTTAGAGTAATGACGAACAAAAATCGAACGAATAGAATACGTGGTGACACAGTCCTGGAAGTAAATTAGTCTCCCGACAACTCCGCCTCCCTCTCCATCCCATCTGCAATAGCTTCAAGCGCAACCTTGGGTTTCGCCAGTGTGAACATCCTGTTCTCTGCGCCTTCCCCGCTTCCAACCTTCTCTGACCTCTGCAAACCAAGCGCAGTCGTGCACAAAACCACACCGGATTGCGCCCCACTCCCCTCGTCAAAGTCCTTCATCGATTCCGTATCGAACTTATCTCCAGCTGCAGCATGGGTAGGCCAGAGATCTGCCGACGTGACTTCCTCACCCATGGCTCTGTTAAGCCTTGTTGCCATACGGACAATGTTCGACACGCGTTCGCCAAACTTCATGGTGAAGTCGCGATACACATCTTCGTAGTTCTTGGTGCAACCAGCCGCAATCATCACGACCACGAGGGTGTCGCTGATATGTGCAACCATTGTTGAGTGCACGTCCGTCTCCTGCAGAGCAACCTTCTGCGCATGGGATCGAGTCAAAGCGCGCCATCGGCCGCTGACTGCCTGGCTTTCTGTCATGACGTTTCAGTATGTTCACTTATTCAGATACAAATCAATCCATACCTGTCTCCCGAACGTCGCCATAGATCTCTGCCAGTGGTTGCTCAGCCTGTAAGCCGTCAAAGTCCCAGGTCATTATGATCCAGCGAGAGAACTCGACTGTGGCGGCCTGCAGTGCGATCTGGATCAAGAGAGGGTCTTCCCCGTGCTGCACGGTACCCAGGAGTGACGTCATGGCAGGTCCAATCAGTTCACCGGTTCGCGCACTGGCTTCCTTGATCTCGTCTCTGTGTTCAGGCTTGCGAGCGAAATCGAAGGAGTCTGAGATGAAAGCTGCCGTCTGCATGATCTCTTGGTTGAGTTCATCTACCAGTCTGATGACTTCCGCTCCTGAGAGCGTGTCGGCTGTGCTCAGGAACGCCTGTGCACCCCGTAGCTCCCGTGTACGGTCGTTAAGAAGTGTGGTTTGATCGTTGAACTTGATCTGTAGGGCCTGCAGCTCGTTTTTCAAGGCCTTCTTTTCGCTCTCTCGTAACAATAACTGCTGCTGGTATGAACTGAGATCTTGCTGCAACTTTTGATTGGCGTCTTGAAGCTTGGAGCGTTCTTGCTGGACCTTTTCTTTCTCGTTTTGCTCTTGTAGTAACCTGGCCTGAATTTCATCGGCCTCCTTGCTGGCTTTTTTCAGAATGGTAGTAAGCCGAATATTTTCCGTTTTCAGGCCGCCCTTGTCTTGGGCTGAAACTTGATGCTCCAGCTCAAGTTTCTTCAGCCTGTCCTCTAGTGATATGCGCTTCTTCTCTTCTTCCTCCCATTTCTTCTTCCACTCAAGCAGTCGTTCTTCCGTCTTGGTGTCGCGGAAGAAACGTGAAGATTTCACCCAAACAAAGAACGCGCGAGGTCGGCGTAACCACCAACACATGAGGAACGGGAAGCTAGCGCTGACAAGGGTAATGGGCACAGTGAAGCCTTTAGATGGTAAGAACCCGTAGGTTGACAGGTTCATGGTAATATTGGTCGCAAGTACCGAACGTTCACTACATATTGAAGGGCTACGCCATGTGGTAGAAGCATGTTCATTCCTGCCTCGTGACGTCCATTAAGGCGGCATCGGAGGCACGCTGCGGTAGCGTTCCAACTCGCCTCGCAGATCACACTGCGGACCGCATGTAGGCGTGTCGGTAGTCATTTTGTCTTCACATCAATCCCTTAGTTATGCTGTGGTCACATGCTGCTACTAGCATTCCCCTGGGCCGCAGTGTGGTGCACTAATTTAGACGGCATTATTCATGGTGCATGATAATCCGGGTGTATTACGTCCACTATACACCGCTGATATGGTCTTGTGATATGGCCGTCCTTCGTCAGATCTTGATTGGTACGGTTGCGGTGTCATGTAAAACGTGTCTCCGCCTACTCGTAAAATACCGCCTGCGTGGGTGGAACCTTGCTTGTCATATTCATTATAGCAGGCTGATGGAACTAGACCAGAAAATGGACGAATGGTGGAAGAATATGGCAAGCGAAAAGGAACAGCGAGGCCTTGCGGTGTGGTCACGCGTGCTGGAAGTTCCCGGTAAGCCAGGGACGCCGGAGCGCCAGCAGGTTCAATTAGCTGAAACGAAATACAATTCTGTGATATCAATCACCGCAGTAAGCCCATCAATTCGTGGAATATTTCACTGATGAATTCCATACAGAAGACGCTATATTCATTACCAGAACGGGGCGTAAGTAGTTTGTGCATCGTGACTGAAGCACCCATCTGCTTAGGTTTGTGGGGTGGCCTCGAGGCATCCATCGTCCGTTCATTTTTGGTCTATCTAGAACACTCAGGAACTTCCCATATCAGGATTAAATCACTCGCATCAGACCTCAAGACCGACACGAACAATACGCCCTGCTACCCCTATATTAGATTATCATCCGTTAAACGTTGTAGGTGAGATGGTGAAAGTCGTGAACGGATAAGTATCCATGTGGCCTCTGCCATGAGGTATAAGACGATGTGAGCGACGTACGACATCCATCCAGTTACGCAAGAAATGCTTCCCCGTCAGCCTTATCGTGGACCAGTCCGCAAATTAGTCCTTGCCTTCGACGTGGGCACTACATACAGTGCAATTTCCTACTGTATACTTGATCCTGGAGAAGTTCCAAAGATTGAGCCTGTCACCAGGTCAGTTTTCGTAATACAACACACCTGCTTTATTGCCGATCATCACGAATATCAGATATCCAGCCCAAGAGCACAGCGGAGGGAATTCGAAAATACCCTCTATACTCTACTATGATTCAAATGGAACTGCCCGTGCTATTGGCGCTGAAGCACGACAGGAACATATCATCGAAAGGGCCGAGGAAGACGGATGGATAAAACTCGAATGGTTTGTTTTGTGAATACTGGACTTCGTATTTACTTAATTGACCACGCTAAACATTTAGGTGGAAACTGCACCTTCGAGCCAGGAATTTGGCTGCCAACCATATCACCGACGACGATATCCCACCACTTCCGCGAGGCAAAAATGCCGTCGAGGTACTTGGCGACTTCATGCAATACCTTTTTCGTTGTGCACGCAGCTATATCGAGGAGACTCATCCAAGCGGATCTAATCTTTGGCGGTCACTCGAGAACCGCATCGAATTTGTCCTTACACATCCAAATGGCTGGGAGGGCCCGCAGCAGAAGCAGATCAGACTAGCTGCCGTCCTTGGCGGTCTCATTCCCAGCACAGAAGACGGCATGGCACGTGTCCATTTGCTGACCGAAGGAGAAGCGAGTTTGCATTACTGTGTCGCTAATATCCTGGCCTCGGATGCATTGTCGAAGACACCGATACTTGCACCTGAAGAGGGCGAAGATGATGACAGCTCGGCTAGTCAAGGCGTTGTCGTTATCGATGCAGGAGGAGGGACACTCGATCTTAGTGCTTACTCGATGACTTTATCCCCGACGCTGATCGAGGAGGTTGCTGCGGCCGAATGTAAGTAACATGCGATTGTCGGAGCTATGTCTCACTCTCCACTCCTTAGGTCGACTCCAGGGTTCTGTGTTCGTGACTCGTCGTGCTCATGATCTTCTTCAAGGTTTGCCAGCATGCTCGTGTTAGCTCTGCTACGCTCTTGTTGATTTTACTTGACAGAAAAACTATCCGGCAGTCGTTTCGGTACACCAGATATAGTCCAACAAATGACGGACATCTTCGACAGTACCACCAAACTTAGGTTCCGCAACCCGGAAGACCCATCATACATCAAGTTCGGTACTGTCCGCGACAAAGATCCTCAGCGCGATATTCGTAACGGTCAGCTTAAATTGAGCGGGTAAGTCTTGTAGTTTACTCTTTCGTAACCTCTATATCTAACGTGTTGCTACTAAAAAGACAAGACGTAGCAAAACTCTTTGAACCCTCAATCAGCAGCATCATAGAAGCTTTCGAAATCCAAAGAAAAGCCGCAGGTACTCCGATCACAGTAAGTTGGCATTACTGTACTTCATCGGAAAATGCGCTAACCGGCGTATCACATGAAGTTTGTATTTTTCGTCGGAGGCTTTGCTGCGAGCGACTGGATGTTCGCCAAGTTGCAAGCGTACTTCCAGTCGCTTAGCATTAGCTTCAGTCGACCAGACAACCATTGGTGAGTGCCAACAATTGACAAACACCTTCGGGTGCGCTTACGGACGCTTTAGCAATAAAGCTGTTGCAGATGGTGCTGTGTCATATTTCATCGATCATTTGGTATCGTCGCGTGTGGCCCGTTTCACATATGGCACAGAGTGTAGCGTTCCATTTAATCCATTCGATATGGAGCATCGTGCCAGGCAAAAGGAAGTTTTCCGAAGCGCCTCGGGAATTCTTGCTCTGCCTCGTGCATTTTCATCCATACTGACCAAGGTAGCTCTTTTTTTACTTGCTTTGGAAGACCTATTGCTTAGGCGCAGCAGGGAACACGGGTTTCTGAGCAGCAAGAGTTCAGCGAGACATTTGCTATCCGACGGTATAATCAGGCCGCATGTAACCAAGTCGATGTCGGCATCATGTCGTACAGGGGCCTCCTCCCAAAACCGGATTGGATGGACACGGAGCGAAGTAGTCGCACACATTGTTACCAATCACACTGATGTTTATCGGATGAGCTAGGCTTATTCTCCACGTTATGCACCGTCCACGCAGACACATCGAAAATTGCCGAGAAGCTAACACTCAAGCGGTCTGCCGAAGGTTCCACGTATTATGCGATGGAGGTCAAAGTCATTCTTCTCTTCGGATTGACAGAGTTGAAGGCTGTGATCGGCTGGGAAGATGGGGTAAGTCACATCGGTTTTCTGGTGATATCGCTAGCTTAACCTGTGCATTTCAGGGGGAGGAAATACGGCAAGTTCACATCCTGACATCTTCCTCTCATAACTCTGATTTCCATTCACAGAACCCCAGCAGTAGTAGTTTACGACGATGAGCAGGAAGAAGCCTAGCCTAGTCGTTCTGTTGAGTCACCTCACACTCGTGCTGTGCAGTGAGTCCGCAGAATCCCGTGGCTTCTCGAGGTTGTAATTGTACGCTCCTATTTATGGGTTTGCTTTCGAATTGCCAAGCATGTCATTTATTTCACCTTTTGCACAATGTGATATACGAGATTCACGAGGGTTATACTAGAAGTTCTCCATCTCCTGTGTGCCTACAGAGGGCGCTGATCAAACCTTGAATCCATCATACATGCCACAAAACATGTGTTCATTCATTGATGAGGGAACGAGGGTCACGCCGCCTCGTGTACCTCATCGAGGATTGTTTATAATAGATGTGACCTATCCGCCGTATCTTACGCAACTAAAACATGCCACCTCGACAAGAATTTACTGGCTCGTGTCGCAAACTGGTCTTCGCGTTTGATGTCGGGACGACATTTAGTGGTGTCTCTTACTGCTTCCTCGATCCTGGGCAAGTTCCTGTCATCCAAGGCGTAAATAGGTGCGATAGCTTCTTAAAGGGTTGCACCATTACTTACTTACTTGGACACAGATTCCCATCCCAAGAAAACGTCGGAGGGGATTGTAAAATACCGTCCATTATATGCTACGACCCAGATGGCACTGTGCGCGCTGTAGGAGCCGAAGCAACACAAGAATATATCGAAGAGAAAATTGAAGATGACGGATGGGTGAAGCTGGAATGGTTGGTTTTCACAATCCACCAGTCCTGGCATAGTTTACTAACCTTCATTCGCACAAAGGTGGAAGCTTCATCTTCGTCCTAGAACCATGGCGTCTTCTCATGTCACAGACCAAGACATCCCAGCCCTCCCGCAGAACAAGACTGCCGTCCAAGTCCTCGCTGACTTCATGCACTACCTGTATCAGTGCGCTAGGAAGTACATTGAGGAGTCGCATTCAAACGGCGCAGACATGCTACGCTCTGTCGAGCACACAATCGAGTTTGTGCTTAGCCACCCAAATGGATGGGAGGGGCCGCAGCAGACGCAGATCCGCAATGCAGCGATCATGGCAGGGCTTGTACCCGATACGCCAGAAGGCCGGACAAGAATCCATCTCGTCACAGAGGGCGAGGCGAGTCTTCACTATTGCCTTGGTAGTGGTCTCGCTGCCGACGGGTTTCAGGTGAGACTTGAAATGGGCTATCTAGGCAAGAGCTTACCGGAATTTTCAGGGCGACGAGGGCGTGATTATTGTCGACGCTGGTGGAGGAACGATCGATGTCAGTGCATATCATATGACAACAGTACCATCCTTCGAGGAGATCGCACCTGCAGAGTGTAAGTCTGATCAACACGACTGATCATGTTGACTATTCTCACAAAATTTCCTAGGTCGCTTACAAGGATCCATCTTCGTGAGCCGTAGGGCCAAGGCAATGCTCCGAGGTACTCTTTTAGGGTTGTCCTGAGGTGTGTATATTTGCTTATGGGCTGCAGAGAAACTCCGTGGATCATCACAGTACGGAAGCGAAGATATGATTTCTCATATGGCTACCATTTTCGACTCAACAACAAAGCAACGATTTAGCAACGAGGACGACCCGGCATACATCAAATTTGGTACGATCAGGGACAAGGACCCTAGTTTCAACATCAGATCTGGGCAGTTGAAGTTAATGGGGTCAGAATACCTATTGCCTATCGATCCAAATATCCTCATTTCCTCTCAGGTCCGATGTAGCAGCGTTATTTGAGCCGTCTGCAGCAGCTATAATCGAAGCTATCGAGGAGCAGCGCCATGCTGCAGCCCGAACTATCAGCGTTAGATCCTTTCCTTTGCCCGTTCCACTTAACTGAATAAACCTCAGACCGTTTTCCTCGTCGGTGGTTTCGCAGCTAGTGATTGGCTCTTCATAAAACTACAGAACCATCTAAGACCATTGGGGCTCGATTTTTGTCGGCCTGACAGCCACACGTGCGTAGTCCTTTTCCAGAAGGAAGCTCACCAAGGTGACCAGTGAGCTGGACTATCTATAGGGCTAAGGCGGTCGCGGATGGCGCCGTAGCATTTTTCATAGATCATCGTGTCTCTGCACGTGTTGCCAAGTTCACGTATGGCACACGCTGTGCGACACAATTCGACAGGAACGATCCTCAACACAAGCTGCGTGCCAGTATGGCCGTCCCACGCCCATCAGGCAGGACCGTCCTGCCTAATGCATTCAGCGCAATTCTAACCAAGGTGAAGACTTGTTATCGCATGTTATGCATAGGAAGTATCGCTGATACGCACATTGCAGGGCACTGCTGTATCCGAGACGAAGGAGTTCAGCAAGAGCTTCATTACGGAAGTAGTAGACCGTTCTGCATGCAATATGATTACCACGGAGATCATATGCTACAGAGGTGACAGCCCCAATCCACGATGGACAGATTTAGAACCAGGTGCGTGTGAATACTTTCCAAATGCCGCGCATCGCTGATCCTCATGGGGCTCAGGCATGTTCTCAACCTTGTGCAATGTGCATGCGGACACCTCGAAAGTGGCACGCACCATCAGCCCACGACGGGGTTATGCTGGGCTGCAGTTCTATCGCCAAGAGTTTAGTATCATCCTCATGTTTGGCCTGACGGAACTCCAGGCGCAACTTTGTTGGAAAGAGGACGTAAGTGCCTCTCGTGATCTTGCGCCAAGGTGTGATATTGATGCACGTGCAACGTTTAGGGGATTGAACGAAGGTAAGGAACGCACCCCTTTGACCTATGACACTAATGCACGGATATTGGATAGGTCGCCAGCCGCTGTCGTATTCGACCAAGTGGTCGAAGCAGCCTAGTCAGTGCTGCAAGCTATCCGACGAGGGATTCACCTCATCTTGAGTCGCACGCCAGACATTCATGTTTCCGAGGGATCATTGTATTAGTAATATTTCACTCGCATCTTGTACGTCTGCTCCAAATGTATCTTGACCTTACGCCCCTGTGGACTCCGTGAGAAATTCTGAGGAGTCATCAGTAGTACATTCCGTGATCGAAAGCTTTCGACTCACCTCGAGTTAACTCAAATGCCGCAAATGTGCTTGCTCCAGCGGGTATGCTGGTGAAGCTGTGAGTATCTCAAGACGTGTAGAAACAAGATCACCCTGACGTTCTTAGCACTGATGCAATACATGAATCATCATTATGAGTCCCGCGATGTCCACATTAAACAATTAGTTCCACTTACGTGATGGCGACAGACCGCGGAAAAGTCCCGTTCTAGCAGCGCGTTGGTCAAAGGAAATGCAAATACCAGGAGGGTGCAGTCTTACAATCCTGATTCGGCAATAACCATCCTAATTTCATTGGCCATATATTTCCAGGGCTTGCCAGTCGGTGGTGTCTGGCGCAACTGGATGCGAGACTTTATCACGTCTACCGAGAGGTCAATATCAGTCAGACCCTCGTCAACCGCGCTCCGTAACTTGCCTAATGGGTAGCAGGATAACCAGTATGCAATCTACAGAATGTCAAGATATTATAAAGTAATCAGGTCGTGTGACATACCCCGCCAGTCGAACCACTAGCAAGAAGGGCCCAAACAGGGACTTTATCCCCATACTGACTCTGAAACTTTCGCTTCGAAAATTCAAACGCTACATGAAGTTAGACAAGGAGGTGCCCATGAACGCCGAGATCGTTACCTGTATAGAATCTGGATCACCCTCTCAATATCAGAACTCCCTGCCAATATAAATAAGGATGAAATACCCTGCATATGCTGGTATCTCTCTCGCAACTGTAACCTGAAACACTGGTCAGCCATATTTCCTACAAGAACATGATATTTGTGAATACCCAGTAGCCTCTCATGACACCGTTCCGAAAGCCCCAGTCTCTCCACATTTCCTTTGCGACATCTCTCAGTTTCTTATCGGTAGCAGCACCATATTGACCTTGCATGCGAACTTTAAACATCTCGACTGGATGACGAAGTGTCAAAGGGCTTGAGTCGCGAAAGCGAATGGTACAACAAACCTGGACTGGCAAGAATAGCATTTGCAGCTCCAGCCATTGCGCCTGCGATGGCGATCTCCTTCAGGGACAGCTGTGGGAATGGTGAAACGACGCGCTTAGAGTACACGTATGAGGCAAACAACAAGGAGTTGACTCCAGCGATTCCAAGAAGGGGGCTGGCCATCCCTGGAGTAGAATGAGTTTTCGGAATAACGCAACACATCATGTCTAATGCCAACCTTTGTACAGCGCAAAGAAACCTTCCTTCCGAACAGTTTGTGCAAGAACATCCATAGGTCCTTTCTAAGCTGGCGATGAGCTGTCTAACTCTGAACCTATGTATTCACTTACAAACATTCCCTCTGCGACTTATGGCTCAGTATTAGACATCTAATCACGAACGGTTAACTGACTGGGAGCGATCTGTGCGCGTGTCTTGACGGTATCAAGTGGCTGACCTACAAGGACTTGGGCAGCGCCGCCCACGCTGCCAGCGACTAAATCGTTTACAGTTGAGAGGTAAGACATTTTTGGATGATTGGTCTGGACTCTGAAGACAATGGAGGACGACAGAAGACCCAGTTAATAATCATATTGGAAGGTCGAGAAGACGTGCCAGAACTGACGTGATTATAGCGCGGTTCTCAGGCTGCAAAGTCGCACGCTGGGTCGAGATAAGCGACTACAACATAGCTTGCAAGTTATGAGTGCATCTGCTGCGAAAAAAGTAAGTCTTCCACTGCAGCCTTTCTTCGTGATCTTCATTTTTGTAGCAGATATTTCGAAAGGGCAAAAAGCCAGAGCAAGGTGGTCCACCCCATAAACGGCGGAAGCTCGACCAGCTGAGCTCCGGATCTCCAGGCGTGGCCCTCGTGTCCTCACAAGACACGTCTACTTCTGCTTTTCCAAGAGGAAATTCAACTACAGTTACCGATCCTGAACTCGCTGTCGATTTCACCACATCAAAAACTAAAAATGGCGAGTCCCTTGCGACGCTCCGCAAGATGATTTTCGGACGACTAGAGTATACGTCTACCCAGAAAGAGTGGGTCATTTTTGCCCAAACAGGGAACCAGTATGGAATCTCATTTTGACGGCTAGTCCAGGAAAATACCTCGCAATCGATTGCGAGATGGTGGGCGTAGGCATCGACGGCGAGGAGTCGTCGCTTGCGCGCGTTAGCATTGTGAATTATTGGGGCACAGTGCTGCTAGATGAGTTCGTAAAGCAGAAGGAACGTGTTGCAGATTATCGGACTAAGTGGAGTGGGATACGCCCCTCAGATATGGTCAAAGGTAGGTAGGCTTTACTTTCTACACCCTGTGATCGAGCTAATATTATCTTTAGCCAAGCAATTCGAGGAGGTGCAGAAAACAGTTGCGGCTTTGACCAAAGATCGCATCATAGTGGGACATGCCGTGCATAACGATCTCAAGGTCAGCTTTAATATGTGTGTCCGCATTCCTGTAGCTCACTGATAACCCGTTCTCAGGTTCTATTACTATCGCACCCAGGTGCATACATACGGGACACGCAACGCTTGGCGGCAAAACACAACGTAATCAATAGTAAACGCCCTGCTCTTCGCAACCTTGTAAAACAAGAACTTGATGTTGTTATCCAGGGAGGGGAGCACTCCAGTGTAAGCCTTCTACCACCCTAGCCTCTGGCTAATTTCTCATCGTGATATGTGGGCAGGTCACAGACGCTAGGGCAACGATGGCTGTGTTCCGGCTACACCGAAAAGAGTGGGAAAAGGGATTCAAACCGTTGCCCGCACCTAGGGCTGGTGCATCAAAGAAACGGAAACTTGATGAGAGTAGCGAACCAGTTGAACCTACCCCACCAGGTAGCGGGAGGAAGGGCGTCAGTTCTGGACTTTCTACAATAGTGAAACGGACACCGCAGACGAGATCTAAATCTACAGTCAAGACTGCTAGCGATAATTGGTGGACCACCCTGGGTGCCAGCGGCATCGCAGGGAAGGGTTCCATGAAGCTGTAGCATTATCATTTTTCGTCTTATTATCTACCACAGGTTTCCCGCTATCGAATACCGGTGGTTCACTGCTAATTGACCAGCAGTTTTTTAGACAATAGTGGCCGCAGCTGGTGCTACGCCCTGTACTCGTCTCCCCAAGTTGTGAGTGCCGAGAACTGCATGGATGAGAAAAAGCGCGCCGAAAGCTGATTGGTTCACTGTCTTTCCTTGGTCTCTGAGGCTTGTAATGCTGGCGACGACACCGACATCAATCCATTTCCTTCGAACAACTCAGCTGGTCGAGTATGACTGGGCATTCATGACGTTCTTTGTAGGACAAATGCCAGTTCACTCACGTGCCTATTACACCTTATCCTTCGACCCCTTGATTTTGTCCATGAAGTGTCGAAAAGTGTAAGTGTACAAGAATATTTGCGAGCATGTGCATATGCACAGTATCAATCATATACATATCACCCCTGACCAACTTCATACTTCTCGTCAACTTCGTAATGTCTCTTATCAGCCGCATAGATGACATAACCCGCACACCCAAGCCTTCTCCAAGCCCAAGAGTATACATGAGACCGGCTGACTTGAACCGAACATCATCCGACCAAATATGAGAAACTTGTTCGGTGTGGAAAACTGTAGAGTGTGCTCTCTTGTGCCTGAGACAGAGGTGGAAGGCCAAATCGGGAACCCTAGATTTTTTCAGTTCTCATCTTCCAGAGTCCTCCAGCCATCGAGTAGCACATGTTGGTGGTTGCCTAATAGCACTTATCCTACGACAAAACAATGGGACTGGCCGGCAGAAAGGAAAAACAACGCATTCCAAATGACCCACGAAACTTATCCTGGGCAGATGGCAAGTCACCACTTCACTTCCGAACACTATTCTCACCTCTCCACAGATGCAGCTCGCTTCGGCCAGTCTTACATGTCCAAGCTCGGCTGGGACCCCTCAAAAGGTCTAGGCACCTCAGGTGATGGCATGAAATCACATCTTAAGGTCTCCCAAAAGCTTGATATGCTTGGGATTGGCGCTGCTCATCAGAAAGACCCGCATGGTATCGCGTGGAAACAAAATAAGGAATTTGAGGCTTTGCTGCAGAGGCTTAATGCGCAGGATGGTCAAGATTCTGCTTCTAAGCATGTGCTAGGAGAATTTGTTCGGCCTGAGCACTCTGCAACAGACGTACACTCCGAAGAGGACAAGGAACTGAACCAATCACCGAAGAAAGAGAAGAAGCGTAAGCGAAAGGAAGGGGGACATGTCGAGGACGGAAAAGATAAGAAGAAACGGAAGAGAGACAAACGCCAGGATGAAGATGTCGAAGATTCAGCTGCAGTAGATTCGTCAAAACCCGCTTCACCACATATCGATTCTCCTGCCCCATCCCCAGATACCGTGTCATCTACTCTTCAAACAAGGCCAAAGGGACGCCCTATGGCGTGCGTTTATTTCTGATGACTGCAACTTCTGATGCTGACTACCTCTCCCAGCCACCGTGCTCGCATACAAGCTGCTAAACGCCTTGCCAATAAATCAGCAGCTGCCATCTCTGAAATTCTGGGGATCGCACCGACTCCTTCATCCGTTTCCTCTACAACTCCCTCCGGTTCTCTGACCCCAATCACACCTACAGACAGCGACCTCCCCCTCGAGAAGCTCACAACGTCGACGAAGAGCGTTGCAGACTATTTTAAGGAAAAACTTGGCGCGAAATCTGGCTCCAATACCCCAGCTGCGAATGATGGCAGCACTTCTCGGGGAGGGATTGGCTCTAGCGCCACTTCTCGGGACGACGTAGATCGACCGCGAATTGGACTCGGTGCAGGTCGCAGCTTTGGAGAAGGTGGCTCTTCGAACGTGGTCGCCCAGTTCTTCAATACATCCTCTTCATCACATGCCACGGTTGTTCAGATGGCATCTTCCGCTATACAGGCCATAATTCAACCTCCCGAACAGACGCCGACATCTTCCACAGATAATTCCAAAGACGAAGAAATGACCGAGAAACAGCGACGCAAAGCGCAGAAAAAAGCAAGGAAAAAGCGCGACGCAGAGGTAGTTGATGTGCCTGCGGAGGCAGGAATCGAGATGCCTAACAACGATGCCAAGGCGGAAAAGAAGAAACGGAAAAAGGAACGGAAAGCGAAAGGTGCGGAATCATACGATCTTGCTCCATCGGCTGTTGTGGAAGAAAACTTAGAGACTGAGAAGAAGAGGCGGAAAGATGACAAAAAGAACAGAAAATCAAAGTCTGATAATCAAGAGGAAGGTGAAACCCGGTCCAAAAAATCTAAAAAGCGCACAGAGCTGGCCGATGATGATTCATGACCTCTCAAAGGTCGCTATTATACCGTCTAGATCTCATATATACCATTACCATCATCCGGTACTACATTATCAAAAATATTTGTATGTATATATGAAGGAACACAGAAAACAAGGTCCACTATCTACCATCAATGAATATATAAAGGTCCAAGGTCCTCTCGTTGCGTGATTCTATGATTACCTCTCAAACACTTTGAACCCGTCCTTGAACTTGTCCGGACTCCCGCAAGAGTCGTCGCAGTACACCTTCAAGGCGTTCACAACCTCTGGAATAACATCCTTATCAATGTCCTTTCCCCAAAGGATGTCCAAATGTTCATATCCATCCAGGCGAGTGACAGTCGTATGGTCTGGGAGCTCTTTGAGCATCATCTGTATGTCAACAAGGCTATCCTTGTCCCCATACAAGAGCACGATCGGTGTGACAATATTCTTCGTCGGGAACCTCGCAGGTCTGTACGCACGCCCACCCGGAGAGCCAAATGCGCTGACATCGTCGTCATACATCTGAAATGCACCCTCGCGCATGATCTGGAACCAGTGCACAACGGACTTGACAGACGCTAATGAGTAGAGATGGGCATACGCAGCAATTTTCTGGAGATATGAGATATTATGACTGTGCCAGTTGAAGAGGAAACGCAAGGAAGTGTCGATGACGCTTGTGAAGATGGGTGGGTATAGGATAGCTTGCCAAGTCGTTGCAGAAGATAGAATGGCTCTGCGTCCGAAGAATAGATACACCAATGTTGGGCTGCGATGTGCTAGTGTTAAGGGCAGACAGTGACAGTCAGGCAATGTACTCACGAAGCCTTCATGAGGCCATCAACAAGGGGAGCAGCCAATCCTCTGGGGCTCATAGCAGGTGCAAGTGCAATGAAGACGTTCACCTTCGCATTCAACTGTGGATGAATGCTGAGTGCGGCGAATGCCTGCGCGGTGCCCTGGCTGAAACCAACATAACTCAAGGTGCTCGACTTCGTGATATCTAGGATATACTGAATAGAATCAGGAATATCATGCCAAGCAAAGTCGTCGAGACTGTAGTTCCAAAACTTGACCGAATTCGGGTCATGATGAACCGACTTCTTGGAGTACTTGTTCCCTCTGTTATTGCCCATCCATACATCAAAGCCTATCATCAACTCCTCAGCATCACGATGTCTCCGGTGACATAAATATTGTAATGATACACACCTTGCTCAACAAGGACGAATGGCAAGCACCTCTCAGCATTTGTCAAACAGACCCATACTTCGCTGTTCATGAGCAACCCATGATGTAAATACACCACTGGCTTTCCCGTGCTCGTCCCAGGACTTCGCTTCCTCTGCCCCCTCTTCGCCGGGAGCCTATGCAAACCCAATAAATACCCGTCCTTTGTCAAAACGACATGTTCCTCATGCGTGTAACCCCAATACTGACATAGCTCTCCGAAATCCTTCGCCATCCGTATAGCATCAGCAACATCTTCGGCCTCGGACTTGCCATTTGCATGGTTTACGGAGAAACGGTGAAAGAGGGTCCGTGAGTGGTTGTGGAACCACTGAATGATGGGAATGGGGAGGAGCATGATGATGAAGCTGATAGCAGTCTCGAAGACCAGGAAGAAGAAGCCCCCAACAAGGGCTGCGTATTCGTGCCCCTTAAGACGACCAATGAGAGGAACAACCATGGGTGACTCGGATCTCGGAATGACAGTCTGTTCAGTTCGAGTGGGAATTATCCTTGCTCTGTAAAAAAAAACTCAGTGTAGTTGGGCGATAATAATACGTGTCCAATGAACGACAATGAGAAAGCACAGTATACGTGTCAGCAACTCGAGTGGAGAGAATGATTATGAACCATAGTAGACCCAAGTTCCAATATATTGAAACACCGAACTGAGCACAAGTCGAGACAAGCTCCTATTCGATTATCAACCAGGATAATATTGTTGTACAACAGTAATAGGGCGAAACATTATTTAAGAATACGACACATGTCCTCCAAAATTAAAGATAAATTCATCCGCAGAGAGATAATACGCAAGTGAGAGTTAGCGCATTAGTCTCACATATCCGTGCACCAAATCTCCAGCTTCCCCTCACTCCTCCCCTTCAGGTTCGCTCGTGCAGTCTCGATGGCAAGTTCATAATCACTACCGTCTCTCAAGGTCACTTTCACATCATCTTCATCTTTGAATTTGAGACCCAAACCATCCATAGTAGTGCCAAACTTGCTTGTCACGCGCTCGACGAATTCTTCGAATGACGTGTCGGGCATCAGCATCATTCCACGCACATCGCCTTGGTAATGCAACTGCAACAAACGCGGTAAACCACTTGAAATCACCCAAGAATACGATAGAACGGACCTTCACACGGATATTTGACAATTCATAGGAATCATCATACTCCTCACTCACATACCCCTCCTCTTCCTCGTACGCTGCCTTCGGCCGCCTCTGCGTCGTTCGTCTGTTTGGTTTCCGACGCATACTTCCTCCACCGACGCGGGAGATATTCACAGCGATTGGCGTCTCAGAGCTCAAGGGTCCCTTGTTGGCAAGCTCATTGCGTGAGGGCATCCGCTGAATCATCGAACCAGTAACCATAGTCCCCGGACTTGACTGTGAACTTCCCTGAGGCCACAATACCACGCGATCCGCGTCCTTATTGGGTAGCGATCCTTGCACGACAGAACGAGAAAAATCTTCGGTATAGGAATCAATGTAGTCATCGAGGAAATTTAGTTGTCGAGCCGACGCTGAAAAAAGTTATTAATATAAAATAACCGACGGTTTCAAAAACACCTACCCTCTTGGGGAGGGGGAGCGGCGCGGAGCACGAATGGCACCTTTGGTACAGGAACGCCAGGCTGGAGACTAGGTGGCGGAACCTGATATCCATTGTCAGGAAGGGTCTGGGTTTGGTACGGCTGAGGTTGTTGGTTCTGATTGCGTGTTTGCAGCGGCTGGGTTTGATTCAGCTGCTGTTGGTATTGTTTCGGTACCTGCGGTGGATCAGGATAGGATTGTGACGCAAATGGGGGTTGGAAGAGGCCTCCAGGTTGACTGACAAGCTGGCTAGGCAGAGGTTCTTTTGTCCTTGTAGTCAGTCCTCTCGATACAGCTACACCTGAAGAGGCCATGGGACGAATAGTAGTGTTGCTGCGGGAAGGTGCAACAAGGTTATTCCTTGCCAAAGGTGACGTGGGTGACAGGGCAGGTGTATCGTCTGTTGAAGGGCGACTAGAAGCGAAAGTAGAACTGTTGATGCTCGCAGGTGCGGCAGTGTTGCTCCTCGACAAACCTGATGTGGAGGGCAGGGCAAGTGCCATACCAGCAGTAGATGGGAAGGCCGGAGTGGACCTCAGACCCGCGGTCGTTGTTTTAGAGCGCTCAACACTAGGCCGGTCAACGGTTTCAGTACCTGACGGGTAATGAACATCAAGCAATCGAGAGAGTAGACAATAATAGAGCGTACGTGGCGGGGGAACAGTTGCACTTCTCCTCAACCCATCGTCGTCATCTCTTTCTTTTGCTCTCTCACGGTCCTCCTTGAGTTTCTTGACGCCAGTAAATTCAGTGAACGCATCGGTGGCGTCTGATGCTGCAACAAGTCTCTGCACAACAGTGACTTAGCGACGGCCAATAAACAGACGAGATGGAGACGTACCGCCTTCCCAAGATAGTCTTTACTTTTGGAATTCTTGAGCTTATTCTCTGACGGGCGGTACAGCACGCCAACAGGCTAAAAACATGTGCTATCAGGTATCATCACTGGAAAATGAGGAGAATGACCTACAATACTAAAGACCGTATATCCCTCTCCACGATCTTTAATGGCATCGTCAATTACGTCGTGATCTTCGGTCACCTTCATATTGCGCGCATTCTGCATCTCAGCTAGCCCCTCGGTCGGGTAGCCAAGATAAATTTGAGAAAGACCTTTGTTGAAGAGCACCTCAGGTGAGAACAGTTTGAATTTGAGGCCAATTTGCTCATAGTTACTGCAAAATAATTAGAACAACAATACACAGAAAAGCTCACAAAGAACACTGACATGGCTTGGTTTCCACGAAGATAGAGTAGTGCATCGTTAAAGTTTTGCAGAGCAACATCGTATCGGCTCAGCAAAAAGTTAGACACCCCACATTGAAAGTAACTGTTCCGAAATGTTTTGTTAGCTTAAAACGAAAACGACATAACAGTCAAGAATTGAGAGATAACATACGCGATAGCAAGGAACGGGTCAAGAGCTGTAGCAGCCATGAATTGCTCGACTGCAGCCTCATGCTCACCAATCGTGGCATAAATCAGGCCCATGTTTGTGAGGATTTTGGAGGAATCCGCAATGCGCTATTGCAGCAGGGATTTAAGATGTGACGAAAGTTAATTAAACGAGTAACGCACCGAAAATGAATCCAGGGCCTTCTCGAAATCCTGCTCGTCATATGCCTTCAAAGCTGCTGCCCATATGTCTAGCTCTGCTTTCAACGATGTAGCCATGGTGTTTCAGGGTAATGTGGAAGTACGAAAAGCGTGCCAGACGCAAACGAGTCTTTTGAAACAGATGCGCAGCAACAAAGTACCTGCCTGGAAGGTTGCAACGGAAGGACAAGGAATGAAAATAAAAAGAGAAGCTAGGTTCTGATCAATGTGGGCCGGCCCCGGAAGAAAACAAAAAAACGAGATTACTGTAAAAGAAAAAAGAAACCAAAAGAAGTCAAGAGCTGAACGAAGGAGAAAATGGACGCAGTCACAGGATCGTTGTATACATTTCTCGTGCAATAAATAACCCATTCACGGGCAGTGCTCCAAATTAGGCTAAACATAAACCGGTGGCAGTGTACGGTCGATGTAAGTAGCTACAAGGCACATCAGTATTTCGACTAGCTGTTCACCGCGCTCACGCACTTTGCACAGGAATCAGCATAGCACAACGGGAGCACACAAAGTGATAACTTGACAGTACATTGCTTGCATATCCGTAGAGGACCCTCAAGACAGTTGTTCTGATTCGGGCTATTAAAAGTACGCCGCAGTAACCTGATCTGAATTCTGATAAGTTAGTTTCCCAGCTTAGACTGGTTTAGTGAGTCTACTACGGACCCTTCAATAACACGCATGGGCAGATGGTTACGAGTCCCATATCAGTGCTTCAGCATTGCCGCTTTCCGGTGATAGTAAGGCTCCAACTCTCTCGAGCATAAAGCCTCTTTCGTCCTTTGCCTTTCGTTTTCCTCTTTCAAAACTACCTACCTCTGTCTCTTCAAGTTTCTGCCGCTCGGAAACTCAATCTGGACCTGGCAGACCCGGCGCCAAGGGGTGATCACATCAAACCAGACTTGAGCAAAATCTAATTTTATTCTAGAATTCTCATGTTCATTGTCCTTATAAGCTCAAGCGCTGTTGCTGTAGATGGCGAATGCAGATCTTGTCCATGCTCCAACACCGACGAACGGGTCCCGGCGTCAGCTATTCATCTGGTAATACAAAGTTGCTATCAGACTTGGCATCCACGACGGCAAATCACATGATCGAACTTTCACAATTCATAGATTATCAGCATATCTCTCCGTTCAATCAACCCATCAGTGGTTTTTCCTCACAACCTTCCGGGAAGTCGGCCTTTAGGTGGGTACGAGTTATGCAATGTTGTTGAATTTTTTCCAACTCAGTGTGACAGATGCATGTAAGGTTTGGCTGTGCACGTGCAAATATTGATGGGAGGTGGTCCTTCCGGCAAGGATACCCGAAGGACAAGGCAAGGCAAGGCGCTGGATGTGGCGCCCCTGAGCAACGTTCGATATTAATTGCAATTCTCGCAAATGCACTCGGATTTGGCTTTTTTAAACTTGCCGTCTGGATGGGATACCGCTTAGCGCACACGGAAGATCATAACTCCCGAGGAATGGATTGTGACACTTCGACACGTACGCAATGCGGGCTCTAGTCTGAGATACATCCTCATCCCACAAAAATATTACTCGTCTGACGCGTTCTTCATCCTGTGCGATGTGCGTCATTCAAAGTCGGAAACTGTTTCTAAATTGACATTGTAATTTGTATCCATTGAGGATTATATTCTATGTAGCACAGTACTTTCTGATCTATAGGACCCCCGTGTCCCTTCTGATCGTGAATTCTAACTGTCATATATGTCATAGGCATGATTTACAGTATGTCTTAATTTTAACAGCTCGACCAAACATTTGGTAAACTTCGGTAAACTGTAAACTTCAGAATATAGGTCGAGCCCGGCCCAAATCAGACTGTACGCACGGCAGGAGTTGATGTTACTGTTCAAATTCAACTTGACTATCTATTTACCTAGCCCGAGGATCAATGTGTGGAAGTCTTGTCTTTCACACTGCGCAGTGCGGGGAGACCAGCAATATACTTCACCGGCAAACGTCGTGGTGTGTTAATCAAGAAATAACGGGGGCTATCGAAAATCCCTTCGAACAAGACGAGTCGCTTTCTGTTGCTTTCAGGTAGCTTCCCCGGTGAACCAAGCGAGTCCGATCAGATGTCGTCTCTAGCCTATATGATAGAGATCGCGATATGAATGATCAGTTACCTGTTCGGACATGGGACGCATCAAGAGGCATCAGGTCGCTAACCTCAAGGCAAGACAATTGGTCGAGGGGCTTAATGTGTTGGCCCTTCCCTCCGATTTCAGGTAAGACGAAAAGTGCCGCGGAGCATTTCACTGATCGGAATTCCTAATAGCTTGGGGTTTCCGGCCAGGGGAGGGCCCTTTGGGGCAGTGCTAGTAGTAGCCTATCATATGGTAATACTCATCAACGAACTCACGAAGAATTTCGCATCCTATGCATTCCTGACTACACTTTCAACCCCTCGTCCGCTACAACCCCATTTGCGCATGTCAGGCGACTCGCCTGGAAGGCTTCGCACCGAGGCATGCAACACGTAACTGATCATACGATCTTATGACAATGAGGATAATGAGAGAAGGCTGGAGAAAAGTCCACGGCAGTCCGTGTGAGTGAAGTGATTTGCCCTGCATTCATAGCGTTTTGATGTGCTGTACATGTCTGGGCATGCCTTCTGTGGGCTGTGTACATAAATGACCAGAGCCTTACATTCGGTGTGGTGAGTTAACATGCGGCATTCCAAAAATGTTCGCGGGATGTTGGGCGGCACGGGCGCGAATTGGCAGCTGTGTTTGCTAAATCAAACCCTGCCAGAAAGTGCGGGATTTGGTTAATTAGCATGCCATTAGCTATCGTCGTGTCCCAGACCGGTCAAATCTCTGACATTCTGCAAAAATCAGGGAATAGATTATGCAGCAGAAATTATCATGAGTGAGGACTCAACTTGATGAAGTAGCAGGGCCAAAGAGAAGTGCAAGCGATGCATGGACATTCAAGTTGGACACTAGCGGCCTTATCAGCCCATCGGGCATCAGGGGGGATCAGACAAACAATCTCTATCACAGTCTTGTTCAAGGTAGAGTGCCAGTGTAGATTTTCGAGGGTGCAGTCAATACATGTTCCTCATTTCCCGGAAAGTATCGGTGCCAATGGAAGTGGAGAAATTGATTCGTTCGATTGACTCGGCCAGCTGTTTGATGTTCGACTGGAACCATCATCATGCAGCACATGCCTGGATGGACCCGGGAAGGGCTGGACTGCACCATTGGACAGTACCTTAAAATCGCGTTGTCCAGAGTCCAGATTTATGTAAAAGTATGGGGAGCTCAATAATATTTGAGGTGACATGAACCTAGGTGGGTACAACTGTCCTACATGATGCTGACACGCTTTTGCGACTCGCAACGAGCTGCAGTTCGGTCTTGACACTACTCGTTGGAGAAGTGAGTGGCCACACCTGACAAGCTGAGGGACTAGCAAACCAACCAAGCAACTGCTGGTGGTGGAAGACTGAAGACCTAACCCTACGAAAACATGGCTCTATCTATGGACCTCTGACACCTCTGATGACCTCTAGCACTCCTCTCTGAGGCCAAACTCCTCTACTACATCGTCGTAGACTATACTTGCCGGGCTCCTATAACGTATTGAGGGGACACAATTGATCATAAAACTATGAATTAGGCTTACCGCATTTCAACACCCTTTGCAACGTTCTCGATCAGCGAGCAAATGGATCAATGAAATCGAGCCACGAACCTTTTCCTTCCAACTGATCTGGGCTTTCAGTTCTGTGCAGCCAAATAAAATGATGACGTCGAATTCAAATGCATAATATTTCGATTGATCTAAAGCCGACATTTTGGGACGAAGTGTTCGAGATAGCTCGCGGAGGTCGGCATGAATCGTGCATAGCGTGGCAAATGAGGCTGAATTGGATCAAGTCAGCATGAGTGTGTTTGAGCCGCGCAGAACTCATACACCGTTCAGTGTCCAACCACTGCGGCTCCTGGAGGGCGCCCTTGTAGCACATTATGTTCGCGCTGTGACTCTCGCATGCGGCAAGAGATTTCCTGGTAGTAAAGAAGGGCTTCCGGAATTCGCGTTGCTCCGATACTTGAGTTCCCTGTAAGGCATATCAGCATGTACCGAATGATTGGATGTGCTTTATTCACCTTCAGCAAGATACTCTCAAATTGTTCATGGATATACGTTTCGCCGTCCACATCGATGACAGCTTTATGTCGTCGGGCTAGGTGTTCAGGATCTTGAAAGTTGTACTGCCTTTTGCATTCAATGCCATAAGTGACGCGTGCAACTCGAGACGACACTAGGTGGTCAATGTAGAACGAAACTGCTCCATCAGCAACAGCTTTATTGCTGCAGCTACCTGATGAGTAGGAAGTAGCCACGTTGACAGTCGAGGGCTTACGCATGAGCATCAGGGCGACAGAAGCTGATGCTTAGGGGTGTAAAATATTGCTGGAGTTTTGCGAACAGCCAGTCGCTGGCAGCAAAACCCCCAACCAACCAAACTGACTTCATGACGATGTCACGATCCGTCCAGTATATGAGCGAAATATGACGCTCACATTAATTGGAATCGAAGCCGTGCGTCTCTGCTGCTCAAAAGCCTCGATGATCGCTTCGATGGATGGTTCAAACAAGTCAGCGACATCCTGGCTGAAAATCAGATATGAATATCGTCATGAAGGTATCCTAAAGAATATGGACGAACCCGGCCAATTTCAATTGCCCTGATCGAATGTTGTACTTCAGATCCTTGTCACGGATAGTACCAAACTTGATGTAAGATGGTTCATCGGGCTTACGGAACCGAAGTTTCGTGCTGTTGTCGAAGATTTCTGTCATTTGTGCGATAATCTCGGGGTTGGAATAGTGCTCCGAGCCCGAAAGCTTCTCTGTGCGATCAAATTACTATCAGTTTTTGGTTCCCTGTATGACTGATGCATTCACAGACTTTGTAGAAGAGTACGAGCGCGACTGGTAACAAAGACTGAGCCCTGCAGGCAACCTGAGTGCGCTTCAGCAAGATAACAACGCAGAAAAGCGGGGCTCACACTCAGCTGGGGCAATCTCCTCGAAAGAGGTCGCAGATAGCTTCATTGAGTAGGCGCTGAGATCGATGGTTCCACCTCCGGCATCAACAACAATGACTCCCTGGTTGTCAGATTGATCTTCGTCGTCGTCGGAGTAATCTGACACATTTATAGGAGTTTTGGAGAATCTATCTGATGCAATCACGTTGGTAACACAGAAATGAAGACTCGCTTCGCCCTCAGTCAAGAGGTGCACGTGCGATTGCTCCTCTTTAGATGATATAAGGCCAGCGAGCTCGACAGCGCGTCTAATTTGTTGTTGTTGTTGGCCTTCCCAACCGTTCGGATGTGTGAATACGAACTCGATGGAGTTCTTGATCGATCCCCACAAGTCCAAATGTGATTCCTGGATATAAGTTCGAGCGCATTGGAAGAGGTAGCGCATGAAGTCGGCGAGGACTTCTACTGCGGATTTGCCTTGTGGGAGAGGTTCTATATCGCCATCTCGTATGTGAGACGATGCCAGATGCTTGGCGCGAAGATGAAGTTTCCACCTGATTAAGATTAATATATAGCCCATGTTTTACCCTCGACGATATACATACCATGCAAGCTTCACCCATTCCTCGTCTTCTGCCTGTTCGATGATATGCTCCTGCAGAGCCTCAGCACCCACGGCTCGGACGTTTTCCTGAAGGTCGTAGTAAAGAATTGATGGTATTTTGGAGTCGCCTCCAACATGCTCTTGCGCGGGATATCTGCAATCCCACCGTGAGCCATAGACATAGAGCTCGAGCTGGACACTAACCTTGCTACTCCTCGAATTACAGGCACCTCCCCTGGATCTAGTATACAATACGAGACTCCACTGAACGTGGTCCCAACATCAAATGCAAGCACTAGCTTTCGCGTTAGTCCTTTATATGGTTCCCGTGAAAGCATGATAGTAATCTGAAGACAGACGATTCATACATCCAAGTTTATATGCAAAAGGGCATGCTTTACATTTCAAAGGTCACATACCAAGTTTAGATGCGGAGATCAAGGCGTGTGTGCCTTGTGCGGCAATTGATCGTGCTGTGATAGAGCAGACGCATGTCGTGCATCTCCTATGATCCGTTCTGAACAAGACAGAGCTTCCAATTTGGAGTCTACGCCCAGTTCCACTCAAAGTGGAATTTATCTAAGTTTGAATCTTCGTATGTGCGTTCGGAGCTTCAGCGCTTCAGCTATGTGTACATGCATTTGACATATGGGCATTGGCATCAACTTGGTGTTGTCCGCACTGCCATTCAGCCAGGTGTACACGGCCTGTAAGTGGCTTGAATTGGGCTGTGTGGTTGAGACATTACCTGAAGCATTGATTGAACAGTATGTCATCAGATTTGAGACACTGCGCTGGGCCGCCTGCAGCTTGAAGTCCCCGAATCTGGCCAGTGCCAGTAAAGTTCATCACCAATTGTATGACTGACTTTGACCTGTTTTGCTTTCAGTTGTTCAAGTTGCAACAGCGCCAAGTGATTACACTACTAGCATAACACGAACTTGCCTGCCCTAAATCATGTTGGTTCCGGGCCTTAGGCCTTAGGCCTTAGTGATAGTGACTATATATTCATCTATGATCGATCTCTAAGGTCGACTTAGTCGTTCACAGTGAATGACACCTTTTTTTAGCCAGTTATGTTACTTCTTTTCACCTTTGTGAATACTAACACCCCAGTCGAGA